ACCAAGCGTACCATCCAGTTGTGGATTCGGTGCCCGACTGGTTCAAGGTCGGTATCAACTACCAGCCGCCGACCGTCGTGCCCGGTGGTGACACCGCCAAGGTGCCCCGTGCCGTGTGCATGTTGTCCAACACCACTGCGATTGCCGAGGCTTGGGCCCGTCTGGATCATAAGTTCGATCTGATGTACGCCAAGAGAGCCTTCGTCCACTGGTACGTCGGAGAAGGCATGGAAGAAGGTGAATTCTCTGAAGCTCGTGAAGATCTTGCCGCCCTCGAGAAGGACTACGAAGAGGTCGGAATCGACTCTCAGGATGGAGGAGCCGAGGACGACGGTGGAGATGAGTTCTAAGCCGCTGCCTTCTCTGTTCAGAGTCAGAAAGCGAGCATTAATCAGTATCCGCGAGGTCGTCCGAAGTACCGGGCGATTCTTGAAATAAATTATAAACCGATTCGACATGATCAGGCCAGCTTCCGCAGGATTTCTGACTTTTCTTTGATGATTATGACCAAAGCCCGTGGATTCAAGCACTTATGATTCGTCATTGATCATGGATCAATATTATTTAGCCATTCTTTCTTAGTCTCCCTTTCATTGGAATAGAGAGAGGAGAATTGGAAGAAAAATCGGAAAAAGTATTCATCAGTTATAAAAATTGGGGTATGTTATTCTGTTCTCTCCTCCTCAATGGATTTGCTGCCAGAAGAACTGGCCCGAGTCTCTGACGGTCCGATTGGCGGTCTGCGCCAAGGAACACGCGTCGGTTACAGGAAGAGACGAGAGATACGGAAAGGCGTTCAGAAACTCGGGAAATCATCCTGGCTATATATTTGTTCATCTTTGTGCTTCCGATCGATGTTTGCTCAGCCCCAAGGTCTAGGCTTGAAGGCGTCGTCGCGTCCGTGGAAACCATCCCTCCCCTATTTCGAGGGACGTGATCGTGAACAGACTTCGTAAGGGAATTCTCCTGCGGAAAATATTCCGAATAGTTCGACGAGACGAAAAATGAGGCTGATAGTGCCCATCGCAGTCCTTCTCCTCGTTCTTGTTCTCAGAGAGCCCGTAGAAGCTCAAGATGAAAATGCTGAGACCTCGACCCCGGAACAAGCAGCTGCCGATCCGGACGAGACCGAGGATGAAGAAGTCGAGGAAAAGAAAGGTGATGCTATTGGTCATAAAATAATCGATCCATGATTGAAGCCCAGAGTCCGAGTTCCGAGAGTCGTGTATGATCGGCAGCGATGGAAATTATTCCATGAGCCGTAATTTTCACTGAAGCCAGTCGATGCCTTCCTTCTAGGAATCCTCAAAAAAGTTACCGGAGCTCTCGGGAAGATCGGGGGCAAGATCAAGGGGATGATCCCGTTCGGGCGTCGGCGTCGCTGAGGACAAAATCCCTTCTCTGAAAACTCGGATTCTTCGGGTAGGAGCTTACCCTGAGCTCCCATGTTCACGGTTCTGATGAGAGCCCGTAAGCTTTCCTCAGTCATATTGATCTTCCAATAAACTGTGAGTGAAATGAGAGAAGAAAATAGAGACTGAGTCTTCCCCTCGTTATCGGCACGCTCTAATGGAAGAGCATCGAGTACGTCGCTCTCGGTTCCGATCCGTGACCTACACTTCCGCGCACGCGGACATGAGCGCCGTCGCCGCTCGGTTCTCGAAGCGGCAGTAGTTGGTATCTGGAAAGGATCCTGAGAGGCTCTCCAACTCTCGGCAACATTCAAACACTTGCCGCACTCTTGGAGTCCCCGCTCATGATCCCGCTCCGCAGCGTCGAGCTGACAAGATGCGTTGTTTGATGCTTCTCTGTCTTTTCTTGGCGCCGCTTCAACAGAGACCAAAATTCGTGGCAGCTGTCGATCAAACGAAGCGCGACATCACGGAAGCCATTCAACGAGACTTCACGAAACTCTACGGTCAGCGTTATCTGTGCAAGACAGACAACATACGAGCACCGACTCCGGTGTCGTTGATGTCGTCTCTGTGTTTCTGCGATGCTCAGTGTTCTCGCTACGGGGATTGCTGTGTGGACGTAGACATAAGAGACAAGAAAGAAGAGCGCGAAGGCTACCACTGTAGTCAGTTGGGGCTAAGACATTTCTACACGAAAATGGGTTGCGGAGAAGACGATGAAGACGATCCGACTTTCGCTAAATCTCGTTGCGAAGAAGCCCCACCACGAAGCGATTCGGTTTCGCACCTCATAGACCAGCCTCAGTTCCATATTAAGAGTCGAACACTCTACAAGAACATCTACTGCGTTTTGTGCAACGAACCGTTTTCCTACATCAAGGAAGCCCGAGGGGATATCCATCATTGGAAGCAGCGGTACATGTGGTACAGTGAGGAAATGACGCCGGATACGTGGTCAGTCGTGAGAATGACGAATAAGTGGCGGTACGACGCCAAAATTCGACAGTACATCGTCACGGAGAACGGCAGCGAATATAGATTCACGGTGGACGCCGAAGAGTACGATTGGGCGAATTTCTCCACCCATTTCAATACTCGCCCGTGTCCCGACGTTCACGTGATCGAGGACTGCCCCGCTCGAGACGAGAACCATGAGGTCGATGCCGATATGGAAGAATGGGAAAAATACTGTCCTCTGTACACGGCGTACGTCCATTCGGACACGTTGGACGCTTATCAGAACGTTCATTGCGCATTGTGTCGCGGAATTCCATTGGATCGACTCTATCCGGGACTGCCATCGGTGTCCACCGACGAACGAGCGATCCAGAGCGGCAAGAAAGGCGATATGTTCAATTCGTACAGGATAAAGCTGAACTGCAAACCCGGCGAGGTTGCCGTTCTGAACTCGTTCTGTAGCCCGGTGCTATGCCAACCGGGCTGGATCTGGAACGGAGCCCATTGTGTCTCCCAGGAGGGTGAGGTCGGATGTTTCTACCTCACTCTCGAAGCCGAATGGGTGAAATTCATGATGAACGGCTCCGTTATGCTCTTGGATTCGAAACAGATATTCAATCAGTACTCTAACATAACGTCGAAAAACGGAGTCCCGACTCACGTGAGAGTGTGTCTGAAAACAGCAATCACAGTATCTCTCGAGCCGGCGCAGGAACTCGTCGCCGAAATTTGCCTGATGTCATCGTCGATCTGTCTTTCGCTGCAAGTCGTCGTTTATCTCATGCTGCCCACCCTTCGAGTGAATCGTCCGGGGAAGATTATCATGTCGCTATCAATCACAATTCTTTTAGGCCACGTTATGTTCCTGATTAAAGATGACATTCAACCAGGCACCTACATGTGTTTGTCGATTGGTCTGATGGCGCACTATTTCTACTTGGCATCGTTCTTCTGGATGCTCGTTATGGCTCTCGACTCGTGCCGCTGTCTGGCCGTGAATGTCTTCAACGCCAAAGGAGGCCCATACCTGATGATAAAATACGCTTTCGTAGGAATATTCTGTCCGGCTCTGATCGTTTGCGTTTCGATACTCTACGATGGCTTCCTACCGCACAGCAAGTACGCTCCCCGTTACGGTCGCGAAGTTTGCTGGATCGGATCTCGGTACGGACTCATGGCGTTTTTCGTCGTTCCAATCGTGACGATCCTGATCGTGAACTTTTTGCTCTTCGTTTTCACCGCAATCACCGTCCGCAAAGTACAGAATCGTTCGGCAAAGTTCCGGACGAACCCTTCGGGCTTCAACAATGAATTGGTTCGACTTAAACTCTATATGCGACTCGCGGTGGTCTTGGGATTCACCTGGTTTTTCGGCGTCTTGTCAGCCTTGACCGATATCAGTTGGCTCTGGTATCCTTTCTTCATCCTAGGTGCCGCTCAGGGCGTGTTCATATTCGTCGCCTTCACCTGCAAACGAAAGGTTCGCGCTTCTTGGTCCCGAGCCCGAATGACTCACCTGGTAGTGACTCACACATTCAATGCTATCAACGGGACATTAATGACCTCATTTTATTCCTCCCCGTATCCTACAGGTGTGGCATGAGCTCCAACAGAAGTTCTCCGGACATAAACGCTACGGCGTGCCCGGCAAATACCGCACGAGCATGGACGGAAGTTTCAAAGTGAGTTCTCTCCGGCGATCGTCTCACCAAGAGCCACCGCCCCAGACTCACAAACACACAACGAAGAACGGAACTCAAGCCGCGTCGAAGCAGAGCAAATCACTTGTCCCAGCGAATCAAGCAGAAAGCTTCAAATTGGAGAAAGAAGTCACTTGATTGTATTCACACGCGTTTTTATTTCATTCATGTGCACAAGCAAAAGCACTCAAACAAATTATCGATTTAGGGTGGAAATTGGAGGATTCACCAATTTCTCCCAGTTCAGATGAAGACGTGAAGTCTACATCAAACACTACTTCTCACAAGATGATTCATTCGTCGTGAGCTGTTCCGCCCAATTACGCTATACTTACAATACCCGTTGCGGAAACCAAGGATGGGGAAATGAAGATCTTTCGGTTGAAAGCTGATTTTTCGAAACTATTCAATGATAACTATTTTCTCGAAGGCTACGCAGTGTCGGCCATGCACGTTGCCAACAAGCTTTTGTCTTGGAGTACTTGCTCCACTTCTTCGCCGTCTATCGCCAGACTCACTTTCGACTTCCGACTGTCTTTGGCTTTCTTGACTGAAACTAAGGCTCTAGACTCTAGCAATGAACAAAGTGACTGGAACTCGCTGTACTCTATGACCGGAACTTTCGCTATTCGACACACGCGCGAGTAAACCTCATGCAGTTGTCCCATGGTCGCTTCCTTGAGGTTCTTCTGTCGCATGCTCACCAGAATCGAGCACAAAAAGAGCTTCTGCTGCAATGGCAACGTCGCATTCAAGTCCTGGTTTTCACGAGCTCGAGTACCGAAAACGTCGGATATCACTTGGTTTATATGACTGATGTCGACAACGATGGGTTTCGCCCCATCTTTTGCGATTTCGTTCCGGACCGCAAGAATCCTCTGCTTGCGAACCTGCCGCTCTACGTTCTCGACCGCACTCCGACAGATGTCGAGCGCTTTGCGGGCGTCACCTGTGCAATTTGCGATTTTCTTCGCGAGGAACAATAGAGCACTGGGTTTGATGACCTCGCCGCAGTTCGTGAGTCGCGACTCGAGAATTTTCGTGATCTGTTTGATGTTGTACGGGGCAAAGTGATAAAGCTGCGGTCGGTATCCGTACGACTGAAGTAACGGAACCATTTTGTCGGTGAGATCCAACGAGTTGGCGATGCCGACCAGAATGACTTTAGAGCTCTTGAGTTTCGCCAACTCGAAGAGAGAATAGAGAACCTGTTGGTTACTCGTCCTCAGCTGGTCGACTTCATCCAAGACGATCACGCAAGAGAACTTCTTGACCGCATTCTGTAACGACTCTAGTCCTGTTCCCGCAACCGAAAGGCCGTCCAAGATTTTCGCGTAGATGGAAGTGACGCCGGACACGGTCATGCAATTGATGAACACCGATCGGAATTTATACTTGGGGGAGAGCTTGTTCAAAATGTGGGAAATCGTCACGGTCTTCCCAGTGCCGGGGGCGCCTGCAAGGGTGAATGAAAAATGGTCAGGTCACTTTCTCCTAAAACGAGGGCCGGAAGAAACTCGGCAGAGGGTGTGTGCAAGATTGGCGATCCGCAATCAGTAGTCGCTTCGCTGTCCATTCAACTGGGCTCAGGTTGGACCAAGCAACGTTCCGGCGGTCGAGTGCTCCCAACCGGCATGCCGATCCGCTCACCCGGGTCTGTTGAACGATGGACCCATGAATACCGAAGCCACTCACCAGATATGTAGAGACTTTCCGGTTTTTTACTCTTCAGGGCGGGCTCGATTATTTTGGTCAGGTTCTCAACTTCTTCATCGCGACCGACGACGAGATCAGTGAGCTGCGTGTGCAGCGAGTGACGAGCCTGGCAGTACATTGCGGCCTTTTCTGTGACGCTGAAAATTATGAGAATAAGAATGCAATTCGCTCCGACGAGTCCTCCGGAACCAGAATTTTTCTACGCTGGTAGAGGATGTTCTCGTACGGAGCTCTTATATCAGCTCGACTAAGGGAGCTTGCTCGAATAAGATTGATTTGACCAAAGATCAGATGAACGATATCACAGCAGGTGGTGCCATGAGGAAAGCGCGGGGAACTTGTCATGGGGATATGACGCGAACGGCAGCGACAAATTCTGAGCGAGATGAACCTCAGGAGCCCTGAGGCGATGCGAGCCTCAACCGCGGAGATTCGTGTTCGTCGGGTGCGAGACTCTACGGAAAAATCGAGGGACCTAGCTAGGGACCTCTTTCCAAATCGCACCTTTACTCTCAGAATCAACGTGGCATGCAAAACCATTCGTACCTCCGCAACGACAATGGTAGGTGCGACAGCGAACGAGGAATTCAGCGAATGCACTCCGAATCGATCGCGTGACGAAATCACACACCCAAGTGTCTTCAGGGATTTCTCCGAACGAGCCAATCGCCGACTTCGCGAGCGACACTGCGCTCGATGAATCGACCAAAACCAGAGATCATTCCTGTCAGGAGTAATGGGATGTATAAATCGAAGAGCTTACCTGCCCTCACGAGAACCGAGCGCAATCGAAGCTTTGCCCGCCAACCCGAGTGTACGCGCCAAGAGTTGGCGCTACTAGCAGCTGTAGTTAGTCTCTTTAAAAGTTCCCGGGGCGGGCGTCGTCTGCTGCACCCTCAGAACAGTAACAGATCGAGACTCGCCGGGAGATTTCCTGCGTCTGGGGAACACTTTCCCTCGGAGTCTCGATGACGGGTCGGGTTGAGCTCAAAGCGACCTCGCATCAACTCATATCGGATTCTGGAATAGTAGGAGGCGAGAACGGGAATCAAGAGCTTGCGACCGGCGGCTCCGTAATCTGTCGCTGTTTGTAGATTCGGGTCTACGAACATCTGTGTTTGCCACGTAATTTCAAAGTGCGGTCTGATCTGATCGTATTAGGTGTCTGAAATTGCAATGGGAGCGGGCCAGAGCAATCCTGTTCCAGGAGGTGGTACCGATGGTTATCACGTTCTTCGGGTGAGTTTCGACTCGGACCCTGGGAACGAGGCTGTTTGGAGTCGTGAACTCGATGGATAAACATTCGCTCCGCTGTCAATTTGACAGCAATGCTCTCGGAAATTCCCGCGAGGCTCTATGTGGCTCTTTGACGGCCTGTGGTCGCATTCGCCGCTTGCGAAAGCTCCGTCGCAGAGATCGCTCGAAGGGACAGTGCGAACGGTCCAGTCAATTTCATCGGTGTCGGAATTCCGCTCCACGCAGTACGGCACCGGTACTCTCTCTTAACCACCGAACAGTACGCAAACTAATGAACGCCGGCTCCCACAGGTCAAGGGTCCCTTGCGGGGCTACCGACTTCAGTTATATCTCGATTGTGTGTCCTCTTCGTTGGAGGGAGAAGCCAATCTACCAATTTCGACTGGATGGTGACTAAACACCGTCCTCGCATCGGACCGTACTCCTCACTGACATTTTCCTTCCGCAGGTTCAGGACAACTCCCCGGGTCAGAAAGCCGGTCTGGAGGCGTTTTTCGATTTTATCTGTGCGGTCGGACCTACGCGATTGGTGAGTAGAAATACCAGCAGCCTCTGCTTCGCAGAGGACTTCTCGGAGCTCTCCTAGTAAGCAGAACTTTAGACTCAGAGAGAGCCTGTCCCGGTTCGGAAGATACTGCAGTTTCTGATCCATCGCGATGATCATACGCGAGCAGACGGCTATCGAAACTCTTCTCTGCCTAGAAAAGTTTTTGGACGATGATTGGGGCGACTACAGTCCGATTACGAAACGGAAATCTTTCATAATTCACAAATGTCTCTTCGCTCCAGGACCAGGACAATGGTACGCTGAAGGACATATTGAAGTCTTCGGTGGAAAAGCCGCTGCGCATGTCTGTATACTCCTCGAAGACGCAACGTGTTCGGGATATAGAAATTATACCGTCAACTTTGTGGGGCGGACAAGGACTTCTCGGAGTTTCAATTCGTTTCTGCTCTTTCGAGGGAGCAAACGAGAATGTGTGGCATGTGCTGGTGAGTGACTGAGATTCTTCTTCCCCCGGAAGAGAATCGGTATCGTACTAAACGCGTGGCTCGCGTGGATTGAATTCAGTTCAATTCAGATGACGCTTAACACTTATGATGATGATGATGAGTTTTTGATGGGGGTCGCCTCTCTACAGGAAGTTAGTCCGGGCTCGCCGGCTGATCTCGCCGGACTGCGCTCGCACACCGATTACATAATCGGAGCGGATTCGATACTTCATGAATCGGAAGACTTCTTCACTCTGATCGATGCGCACGAGAGTCGCGCCCTGAAGCTCTATGTTTATAACTCGGATTCAGACGCTTGTCGGGAGGTCGTTATAACTCCGAACAGGAACTGGGGCGGAGAAGGAAGTCTCGGTTGTGGAATTGGATATGGCCTGTTGCACCGGATCCCCATTAGGGACGATTATGAGAGCGAAGAGAAGAGATCGCTTCTCTCCAGGTCGAGCAGAAGTACGCCGAATCCTCAATCGACACTAACCCAGGCGGATCTAGAAATCGACCAATACAATCGCGGACATGGTATTGCTCCTCTGCAATCTTATCAGAGTGCCGCTCCGGCGAAGCCAGCGCCGATCCCTAATCCCCTCCTCCAAGCCGGGATAGCATCGAAGAGTCCTCCATCTCCTCCCGTGCCGATAGCCGGTTAGTCACCCCTGCTTCACCTCCATTCCGTACACTCAGACGGTCGAATCCGATCGCTATCACGCTGTACACCGTCGCTTCAAAATAGAACCTTCCCGAGGCTCAGCGCCTATCTTGTTCCGCGTTTCTCCTGAGAAAACATATATTTCCTTGCAGTAGGAGTACCTCTGCAATCGGGTTTCCAAACGCAGCCGCCTCAACAACAACCGCAAATGTCCGGAACGTCCGTTCAACCCCCACCCCCGATTCCTCCCATGGCGAATTCCGGAGGTTTGAGCTCAGGGGCGAATACGTACCGGGCTGCCGTGCCACCGGCGAACTCGACGGTTTCGGCGGTCTTCCAAAACCCACTACCACATGTGCCCTCGACGGTCCCTCAGGCCGTTCAGGTTCCAGCGCGAACCCAAGCTTCTCCCATGTTCGCACCGGTCGAAACGAATCGAACGTTCACCCCTCAGAACGTTCTTGACAGTTTCAATGTGCCTACAGTTCAAAATGTCGCCAGTGACCAAATGGCTCTGCACAATCCTCAACCGATAAGCGCGACAGTCCATAATGGGGCTTCGACCGTTCCTGGCGTTCCAGCGGCCCCACCTATGTTTGGTTGGTAGTTCTTTATTGTGTTCGACTTTTTGAGTTGACATTCGCTCCGTTGATCGTCACCTCTCTGAGCCTAGTCTAATCGCCCGGAAGCGGTTCCTCGGCATAGCTTCTCGAAGTTAGGGTTGTATTCTTCGCGGACGACCTCGGGCACTACTCTGAAAAATCTCTCATATGCCGATGGACGTACAATTGATTTCCCTTCTGGTACCTTCGTTCCTCGTCAGTCTACTATGTTGTCACAGTCATTGATTGATTGTTTTTTGTCCACATTTCGCTCAAAAAATTCATTTCGATTTCCTCATCCTAACAGATGCTCACGCCCGATCAGTCTCCATAGGTGGGTCTGCTTCATTGATCACACTGTTGTTTGCCTAGCACGTCCACAAGGTCTATAAGAATCCGTCCGGCTCGGGATGGGGGATTCTCTGAATTGCCCATGCATCTCCTTCTCATACCGATGACCGGTGCTACTAGAAGGGGGATCTGTTCTCGTTGCGTGAATCACCTGGCGGACGGGGGAGCGCACAACCGTTACAAATCGCGAGGAATAGTGACACCTGATCGACTTCTCAAGCCTCATGCTTCTTGCAGACATGTCAGCGTTCCAGCCGACACCTGTAACAACTCCGATATCGCTGCCGGGAATGCCCCCCATCACGGTGTCTGCTACTCTGCCGGCCGCCACGTTCCAACAAGTGTTCCAACACCCGCCTACGGAACTGCCGCAAACCGCGCTTGACAATTTGCCGCCATCGCCGCAGCAGCAGCAGCCACCGCCAGCATCACCGTCAAGACCTCAGACTTCGCCTCAACACATGTAGACATCACGTTAGGCAATAAGTGAGGTTTTGAATTGGCGGGGAGCTCCATGGATCCCTTCTGCAGCAGGCGGGCGACGGAGGAGAACAAATCGAGCAGTTTCTGTGGATGGACTCTAGATTTTATTTTTGAGCGTTCTCCAACCACTTGAGAGACAAGAGCTATCTTCATCGGTCGTTGATGTTCACAGAGGAGCTCCGATTCAGAGAAAGGAGTTCCCTGAGTCGAGCCTGCGGAGGGAAACATCCTAAACATCATCCGAACGCTTCTGCTGAGCGATCGCGTGCGACCTGGCAGATTTGGGTGACATCAACGTTTCCGAGCTATACCGAGCGTTCGGCTTGTCTGGAAGATTTCTAAACGCTAATATAATTATTATCATGTGTGAGAGAGGAGCAGACTAAACAATTTCGTGAGAACTATTAATTGAAGACGCGGAACATTGAGAAATACCGATCCAGGGTGTAAATAAACTTGAATATGCTGAAACTTCGGAAAAACTGTCTCCGCCCCAGCAAATATAAAATATATGAGTATAAATGATATGCTGCCTGTATGCGGCGACTTTGAACAGGACCAAGATTTCACAGCGTGGCAAACGGATGGCGATCATGTTTATTGACAATCATCAAACAAAATAATCCCTTCCTGATCGTGAGATCTGCACTTCTCCAATAAGAGCTCGACGTATAGTTTCAGATTCCAATGGTGGGCTCGATCACATTCATATCTTGAATCTCTGACGTTGGTCGAATATAGTGGCTTGTGAGCGCCCAAATTCAGAATGTGTGCCATCATGAACGGTGGTGGATCGTACATCCACTCTGCCAGAAGGTTAAATTATGTTGTGTATATGTGTTAATTATGGTATACATATAGTAATAGTATTCGCATATGATAATATTGCATATCAATGATAATGCGCGGAGTTATGACGATGGGTAAAATAACTGCAAGATACCGATCGCTGAGATTTCGAGAGTACAACAGATAAAATTCCAGTGGGAGGATATTCACCGCATGTGTTGAGACCGGGTCTGCGAGAGACGGTCCCTTCGGAACGGATACGATCCTTGAATCTCGCTGACATATCTATATCCACAACGATAACAACAGAAAACTTGGGATCAGGTTCCGTGCGAGCGAATCACGCTCATTCGCTTGACTTCTTGACGAAGCTCAGAGCGGGACCAGCCTGTGAGAGCTGACTGGACTTCTTTTTCGTGGCAGATCGAGACGATCTTCCGAGGGGTCTCGTACCTGTTCGCTCGACGTCGGGTCGTGCCGGCTTCCGATTCGAGAGCACCTTCGATTTAGGTTTCGAAGCGGTGTGGCCCGAATCCATGGGCTCCGCTCTGAGTTGACTAGAATCGTTTTTGGCGGGAGCACGCAGTCGCTTCGCTCTAGATGAGCTCGTCGAAGAAGATTTGGCCTTCTTCTGCTCTTCGTCGCTACCACTTGAGTCGATCCACTGACGCTTCGAACAACTCGCGGCCGACACTTCAGGTAGAGGTTCTTCGATCTTCACCGCGAGCTGCGGCGTAACGTTGGGCGATTTCATTTTTGATGCCTGTTTCTGAAACGCCTTCACCAACGGGTATTTCGTCGAACAGTACTCATGGTCTCCGTACTGCATCTTCGTCTCTTTTAAGGTTCCGCTCTTCTCGCTGCGCGTCGTTTGCTCGTTAGTCTTCCCGATCTCTGATTTCGCAGCTCTCATTATTGCGAACATTTCTCCAATTGTTTTTTTTTTGCTTTTGGGGAGACATTTTCTCCGCTCATCGGTAGCCCCTTCCTGAACAACAACAACAGCAGGAGGAGGATCGGCCGTACTCTCGCGGCGGATCAGATGAGTCCGCGTAGAATATTCACTTTTTATCAGCGGACTGAACGTGTCGCGCGGTGCCAACAGCGCACAATTTTCGTTACGAGCAGAGATCGTCGATGGCAAATCACTGAGATAATAATGAATGAATTCGAGGGGCTCTCCAGAATCGAGGAAGTTCGGATCTTTGGTGAGCCTCAGAATTCTGTAAGGTTTTGTAGAGGTTCTGCTTGAAGGAGAAACGGATGCTGCTCGGACGAGTACGGAATATTTCAGCTGACTGGAAGACTTAACAAAGTTCGGATGGCGTTTCGAATGCTCGCTCAGAGAAGAAACTGAGACTACGGCCGCGTTAATCTGTTTTTGAGCATTATCGGTCACCATTCCTAAGGGACAAACACATAGCTGAATATCACTTAACAGCAACCACCTTGTTTTGTTCCTTTGGTGCTCTCTGTACGATGATAGTGTAGTGGACGACGACGAGCTGTGCCAGAATGGCGGGGCGAGCTCTCTCTCTTTCTGCGCTGTTTGTGATGTCGGCTGCGGTGGTTAGCCTGACCCGCCGCGGCTGCTGCTGCTGCTGCTACTGTGAGGAGAGAGCTCCGGCGCTAGGCTCCAAGATGGACGCAGAGACTATTCCCGACGATTGTTCGGACTCACTCTGGTGCGGTAAATCCCGAGGAGAACTTTTCCCTTCATGAAAAAGGCGCTTTGCTCGAGTCGATAGCGTATTTCACGGATCTCTCCTTCCCATTCGCTATGTGTGTGTGTGTGAATGCCTACCGCTGCTGCCTATTCTTGCTGTCTCTGACAGACATACAATTTTAAGGCACGGGGGGCGGCGTTCCTAGCGGTACGGTAGGGATTCTTCCCTCGCCACACGTCCTTGTGAAACGGGAGGAAGTAGCGACGGAGAACGACAAAGAATCATTCCAAATTCAAGCAGAATCATGATGATGACGATGATTTCTGCTCATAAGGGGCAAAACATGCGATGATGGATGGGTCGTAGTGGCGCCTGAGATTCCCCATAATCTCAATCATAGGACCTTCCGACCTATATCTTACGGTTGCCTAGAGAATCAGAGAAAACCCGATATATCTCAAATTCTAACCGATTCCTGTAAGCGCGGCGTCGAGATTTTCGGATAGATATGGGTTCTGTGACGACAAACGTCTCTTCCTGGACAAGTGTTGCACTAATCCTGTAGCGTAGCGAGAAATAGAGTCCTGAGGTCCAAAAACTCCTCCGAACCGTGGACGGGCACCCATCATTGGATCCAAGGACCCCGTGGACCTCCGTCCATTGGTCCCATGCGATAAAAGGGGCTAGTTGAGCACTGCGGAGGCCCGAGGACCACCTTCGAACCTGGGGTCTCTACGGTCCACTCCGAAAACTGCTGATGTCGGGCGATGCATGAAAGTCTGAAGAGCGATGAGATGCGATGATGCTGAGCTCCGTTGGTGGTTGCAATCCGCGCTCCGCAATCCTCACTCCCTTTCTTCCGGAGGTTATTTTGAGGCCCTGAACAACGGGGAGGTTATTATTCACAGCGAGACTACTGCGGGGTATCCCCCGCAAGTCCCCCTGCATTGACCATGAACACTTGATTATTGGCGAGGAACCGAATCTCCTGATGGGCCATCGGCCCTCGAACTGTCGCTTCCCGGACCGGGAAGGTCGCTCCTTCCGTATCGTCGATGACTGATGGGAGCGGCATTCCTGGTTGAGCTTCTCCTGTATCGTACGATGAAAGCATCGAATAGCTTGTTTTGACGATCGGAGTCCCGCGAGCTCAGTTTCGGGCTGCCCTATGGTCCTTGGGCCGCTCTTTGAAGAACGTTTGCTGGTGCCGCGCCCTTTTGAAACTCCGCTCTACGGGAAGTGGCGGAAGCGTTTACAGAGCCAATTTCTTCCCAGGAGGATACGGCCACAGGAATCGGAGGATGAATTCTCTCAGGTAGAGCAGCTGTACGAACCCCCAATCTTCCGGAGGGCGAGGACTCGATGCTCTCGGTCATGGATCCCACACGTCATTTCCTGTGATCTCGGGATTCTTGTGCCGGCATAAGCATATTCAAAGATGTTCCCCGTGCACGGTCTGTCGTTCGAGGGAAAGATATGCTTCTCGGATCTGATCGAGAATCGAGACGTTTCCGGAAGCAGGTGGTCAGACCAGAATGCTTTATTCAACTCGACGGACCCCGGTCCGTGAGTGCTTCGACAGCGCAATTGGCGAGCTGATTGAGCAAACTCAGGCACTGCGATTCACACGCGCTTCTTTCGCGAAAAACCTGCTCACCAGAGCCGTCGCCACGCGTCCAGCCTCCGGACTCTAATTGTGGTGCGATAGGGGACCCAGAAGTTCACTCGTCGTGTATGACTGATTGATACTCCAAATATTTCTGTATCTAGGCGAATGTTCCGAAGCAGTCCATGAAAATCTATAACCTTCAATGGATTTCGCATCGAATTATTTCCCGGAGTATTCAGTGGAATCATTCATTCTACACTCTGTTACCGTGTTTCAACTTCCAAGAGCTGCCCCGTGGGAGGATGCGGCCTCGGCGCCATACCTGATCCTTCGAAGTCCTGAGGGAGCTCTGCTCTCTATGTAGATGCGGTCTCGCTCAGCCAACCGCAGAAAACTCGGAAATTCGCCGTTGATTCTGTCAGTCATCGCCGAAACGGGAGCATGAGTAGAGTCTGAAAATGGAATGTAGACAGACTCGGGAACTCGATCTGTTCCGTGGCCCCCCGATTGGCGATCGGCCGTCGAAGGCCGTCCGCATCCGAAATCGACAAGGTTGATGAGCAACCCTCCCAAGCTTCTGAGGGCATGACTTCGCTAGAATTCTCATCAAGTTGCGATGTAATCGGGTAATAGCCGTATCCTCAAGGATGCGGTTCTCCTTCCCGATCTTCCGGGTCTGAGAGGTTCTTGGGAGTACATAACAACTCAATCGCCGGATCGAATTGAGCTCGAACGACCCCACCCTTGATGGGAGCTCGCCCATGAAGGGCTCCGCGCTGAGAAAAAACTCCGATGTGCCGGAGAGTCTGAGCATCTCATCCACGCATTGGTCGTCTGAGCGGAGCGACGCGACGTCTAGATAGAATATCGTGACACAATACACCGATTTCGGCCGAGACCGCTTGGGACTCAAAAACCGATTCCGCCTTCCAGAAAGCTCTGCAGCTTCGGACCGGGGACCGCATCGGGTGCACTCGCCCCTCCATCGAGTTAGATGCATTCGGAGCACCCGAGCAGGTTTCATCCTTGCACATGTATTTTGAAATCGGCGCCGCGAACGAAGCGCCAATCCGACTTGTTTACAGAGGTTCATACCGAGACGCCGAAGCCAGCTAGGCCACAAGCGCAAGAGCAGGGGAAGTGATCGCAGCAGCATAACCAGACAGCGGCTGCTAGGCTTAGCGTACCCACGCGAAACTACCACATTTCGTGCAAAAATTGACGTGTTCGGCGAATACGGACCATCTGTGAAGATGGTTGACGATAAAGACGTCCTGAGGTGAGTTTTCGGTGTGCGTGGACTCTGCGATCCCGGCGAGAGACTCTAGTTTCGGCAATTTCGAATCAGCGGCCATGGGCAGTTTGCGCCTGGCTTCGGCTCCCGTCGAGCAGTGTCCGCGTTAGAAGTATCCTGTCAGTGTAGCCTAGAGCAGTCTACCTGGATCCTACATCACCATTCGATATTGTCTCGCAGCCGAGGCCTAGGGACTGCGCTCGAGTGTACGGATACACCGTAGATTCGAATCTTCTCCATGGGAAGGCACGTTGTCGGCGCCATGGCTGCACCGGGCCGGCGTGTGTTGCTTTGATTTCCCGCCGCTGTTGCTCCGGAGCCCGCATCGAGGCCGGACACTTTTCCTCTTCCCCGTCGACACTCGAATCCGTAGTTCGAACGCAACCTCCCGAGAGAAGAGCGGATGGGAACGAGCGCAATTCTCTCACAATCAATCTGTACCGTTCACTGCGAACTAGCGTTCAGGATGAGCCGTGTCCCTCAGTTTCCGGGCTTCCTCTCATGTTTTCGATAAGGGGGACGAGCTCGCAGCGTAGGAACGACGCAAACGAATGAGCATTCATGCAGGAGATTGGCGGATCGGCTTTTTTTTTGTTGATGGTTTCGGATGGCGGTCGGCTCCGACTGTCTCCTAGTCCAGTCCCGAACGAGTCGAACGTTCGCAGTGTAGAAAACAGTAATGAGGTGCATCCGCTCCTAGCGAGCTGGATCCGATGTCCTCTATTGACGCACGTAGCGTCGACGCGGGAGCCCTTTCATGGGATCTTCTGATGAATTATTATGAAAGGTTCCGCGAGTTTTCTCGGAGGATGAGCACTCATCGGGGAATCGCGGAAATTCGCTTCATTTGCGGATTGGATGAACCTCGATTCTGGGCACGAATATCCCTTGTCTGGGTGATCTGAGCTTGGAGCTGGATGCAAGAGAGGAAAGCATGAAATCGGTAGCGGAATCAGGAGATACTGAATTTCTCGACACCGGATCTCCGATACTCGGTGGCTGTGTGATGATTCCAAGGGGTGGATGCTCCTCGGTCTCCCCGAATGAATATCTCGGGGCGTCTGGGGTTTGGCGAATCGCCGCAGCGGAGTATCACGATAACACGGTTTAAATATAATAAGATGGATTGTTTCTTCCTTCTCGACCGCTAGCCGGAATAGTTTCCTCTCGCTATCACTATGCTAATTGGAAAACGTCGTGTGATGATAAGGGATTAGATTCTAGTTCGGATTCACCACCGGTTTCATTGTCGAGATAGCTGAGGAAAAAACTCCGAGGAATTCGAGCGTGTCTCAAAGCTTCGCTAATCGACGTCGTTTTTTCTGATTTCAGCAAAATGTTTGTCGGGGGTCTTTCCTGGGATACCACCAAGGAAGGCCTTCAATCTTACTTTTGCCGGTTCGGGGAAATCGTGGACTGTGTCGTGATGACCAACGAACAAGGACGTTCCCGGGGCTTCGGGTTTGTCACCTTCAAAGATCCTCAGGTGCGTTTCCGAGAGCAGGCTTACCGCTCCATGATAGACGGCTCGATCCTTGAGCGATGAATGGTGACAATGCTTGCTCGATCCGGATGAATAATTTTCGGACGTTTCTCATAACAGGTTGTGCAAGTCGTTTGTCAAGGAGGACCCCATCGAATCGATAACCGAGTCGTGGATCCCAAACCGTGTAATCCACGCGGTGGGCCGGGGAAAGGCGGAGGCAAACGTGGACGAGGATACCCTAAGATTTTTGTTGGAGGTCTCCCAACATCCCTGACAGAGAATGAGCTGAAAATGTTCTTCCAAGAGCATTACGGGGACGTGAGTATATGCCCAGACCAGATATCGCATCTAGCGTATTATGTCGAAGAATCGCCCCTGCGGTTCCGCTCCCGTTTAGCTTGGAAATTATTCCTTTGAATTTGGAAGCACGGTATCCAAACACCATCCTCTCGATACAGGTTTTCGAAGTGGTTATCATGTACGACCAGGAACGCCGCAAATCAAGAGGTACGTGTTTATTCCCTCGTTAGTCCTTCACATGGATCTCTGTCGTATATGAGTTTCTGAAAGCAAAATATCTGAGTGGGCCTGAATCGTGTCCAATTGTGTGTCTGAGTGAGTGTGTGGGCTGTTCCTTCTTTTTGTTCTCTGGGACATGATCTTTGTCCTCATCGTAAATAGTGGTTCTTGTAGTGCGGCCTTGCCATGAAGCTGAAATACATCTAGATACCTTTAGGGACGTAGATAAACGGTCAGTAGGTCGCAGATTCCAGCACGCAGCTGTGTTCTTTAACATCGAGAACTGCGACCGTTACTGTACTACCGATATTTCGAAAACGCTGTCTAGTTTTTCTATTCCTCGTTAACCCCACTATCTACCTTCTATTCTAAATAGTCGTACCCGATCGTATGTAGAGAAGTTGCCGCCGATCTCACACATGGGGACCGCTCTTCGATCTCGACTGAAAGGATGTCTCCTATTAGCCCAACTCTAGATGATTGTGGCCAGCCGGGTTTCTCATCCGCTCCGAGAAACAAAGATCTTCCAAGTCCACTAACACTTTCCATTTAAGACCATAGTTGGGCCGATCTACGGTTTGACCGGGACTCGACAGTTTCCTGAGTCGAAACTGAGAGTCGTAGCTCGACCTCTGTTTAAGCTAATTTTCGCCTTACGTAAGTTGGTATTTTCTCTTCTTTCTTAGGATTTGGCTTCGTGTCATTTGAGAACGACGATGCTGTTGACCGCGCTTGTAGGGACCACTACGTATCCATCAATGGCAAACAGGTACACACCCAATGCATTCGGAGTCATTTCAAGAGTGACGACAGATCAACACCAACTCCCTAGAGAACACAATCATTACGACAACGTCCCGTCTCACCGACCGATCAGAGGGGCATTCCTCGGTTCTCCGCATAAACCTGTTGAGCGGTGACGTTATTTTTCGCTATTCTTCGTCCATGTCCTGCACATGCCCTCTCCTGAACTATAATTTCGATCCCGTGGGACTCGCCCATTGACGGCCATCGTTTCCCACCGGGAATCTTGATCCTGATTTTTCCGCGAACTCGCTTTCTCCTCCGAGTGAGGGACTGAAGCGCCTTGTAGGTTCTGGCTGAGGATGCTCGCTCCTCGGTCCGGTGGGTTTACCGATTCCGGTTATCGATCCGTTGAAGGCCTTGTCTACCCAATCTAAGTCTGTCTATGATACTCGGTAGCGTACTTGGCTAAGTAGATAACTACTACTGCTGTTGCTCACCTAAAATACGTGTTGCCCACATTTACGTTGACCTACCTTATAGGATGCGCTGGCTATCATAGGTAGCCTAGCTAGTAGCCTATGTAGGTAAGGTTCGAATCTCGTGGAATGGCTCACATACCGAAGAGAGTTGAAATCTCATTGCCATGATCTGAATCTTCATCTCGGTCCGGTCAAGTCTGAGGGTCAGGAGAGAGTCTCATTCGATCAAACCACCCCTATACCATTTGCTCTGGAAACATGTGATGGCGGACCTCACAGACGTACACTGAATTCTACGCGGTTCTTTCTAAATATTCTCACTGCCAGAGGGACGGCATACGTACAATCCCAGTTTTGGAATATTCATTATCTACTCGCTCTCCTCGATGGATCCATGCGTTCCGGACCCGCTTCCCGCGTGGATTCCTTCCGATTTTTCGTTTGCATAGGCGCCTCTGCCTCTGATAGCATCTCTTTCTCACATGGTGCTGCCCGCGAATAATTGACGTGTATTATGTTCGTCAGGTTGAATGCAAGCGAGCTCAGCCACGCGATGTGCTCGAGTCGAAGATGGGCTCCAGCCAAGGAGGTTTGAGAGCACCCACTGGGGACTTCTACGGATATGGTAATCCCGGACCTCGAGGCCCTCCTCAAGGACCCCCAGGAGATTTCCGGAATGGCAGCTTCGGCGGCTGGGGAGCTCCCGCGCAAGACGGTAAGAAACACGCTATTATTCCTTTACCGTCACTCTGAGGGAGTCTATAAAGTACATGCAAGTAGAACATGTCACTCATCCTGCACATTATGTAGAATGACACAGCATCGCCGGGACGTTCGCTCCTTCCACCGATTGTCTGAAGTTTCCCTACGTTCTTCCGACACGAGCCTGATTCCATGAATGCTTCGATTCACAGGACCACCGACATATTCCGGGGGATACGGAGCCCCCCAGACCGCCCCCAGCGGAGCTTGGGGAGGACATCCAGGGGCTGCACCCCCGCACACTGGCTGGAGCAGCTCCCAAGCTCCGACAAGCTACAATCCCAGCTATGGCGGACCAGGACCGACCGCTCCGACAGGAACAGCCGGCTACGGAGGCTACGCAGCTCCAGCCGGTAATTACGGACCTCCGAGCGGTCCCGCTCCTGGACCAGCTCCGCCAGCGCCGGCCTACGGAGGATACGGTGCACCGGGCGGACCCGCACCGGCCCCGCCTAACGGCTACAACGGAATGGGAGGCAGCTACGGTCAGGACGCTTCCAGTTACGGACCAACGCGAGGCGCGTACGATACCTATGGATCCGCCTATTCGACCACGACAGCTCCGGGTACCGAGAGAGCTAATGGAGCTCCGATGGCACCTCCTGGAGCTGCGGGTTCCTATCATCCCTACAGGCGATAGATTCGGCTCGTAGGTGTACCTAGGTAGCAGGATAGGTACATGCCATTGGATAGGATCGCGGAGAAAGTCGCGAACCCACAAGTAACATCAACAACATCAGCTACAACAAAAACAACGTACTACTGCTAACAACATCGCGAGTAACTGACCAGAACGAGAGACAGCGCTGAAACCAGCGAGCAAGTGTTCCATCGATCGAGGAGAGGACTCTCGCAGGAATTCCCTCCGGCAAACCATCTCGAAGGAAATCTCGCGGGGAAGAAACGACCGCCGGTGCTCTCGGAGATCCATGTCCCTGCCGAAGTGCAGAATTAACGAGTCCTTCTCTCCCACGGCTTACTTCGAGAGTCCGCGTCGAGTCGAAGTCCCCCTGTGGAGCCTCTCTTCTATTCGAGGAGAGACTACGGAGGAGGAGAAGGAATGAAGATGAAGCAACAGAGTGCGAGCGAGGCGACATGTTCATTTATGAAGATTAGACAAAACTACTAATAATAGAACGAGAGATTTCAGTTAAGTGAGTCGACCAGTAGCTCGGCCTCGAGCGGGGCTGAGAACTAGAGTGCTCGACTGTTCTTTGTGTATTCAATAATGATTACCTAGATGAAGCAGATGAAACAACGGATGACCAGTGAAATGTAGAAGATACGGGGATGATATTCTTCCATGATGTACACGTGCGGCAAATGCGGTCATGCCCAGGAGGCTCACACGGCTTTAACATTAATTTCTTTGACATCCAATCGGTAGTCTCGAAGCAATCGCTGAAATTAGGGGAAGAAATCATACAAGCATGTGTAGAATCGATAATTGACACCGGTCACCCCGATGACGGGAGCCTCTGGACATGAGAGCTGCTCCCGATCAAGCGACACGAGTTGTTTTCTCTTCGGAACCTCAAGACTTTGTGCTACGATATCAATCAAATAAACGTCCGAAAAATCGTAAATTTCATCACGTCATGATCTCATTACGCACATCGGTGCACTTGATAGAGAAGGTTTGGTATAAGAGCTCGTAGATCATCTGATCGAGCACAAAAAGAGAGTCCTCTTCTCCTCGACCTTCAGACCTGGGAATCTTTTTCGCCACACTCACGAGAATCCATGAAAAGGTCACGCACAGCGCTTATTCCCGGGATCACAGAAGACGCGAATGCTATTCCTCGACGCCTCCGATTCGCAGCGCCAGTGAAGCTATCTGGTAGAAAACTGTTTCGGCTCCCCATCAGATATTGAACAATTTCCGAAACTTCTACGGAGCTCCGGAGGCGGGAAGCATACCGAGCGGTTTAGGAATCGTAAGAAACCGCGAACCGCGGTACAACCAGAACATCTGTTCTCCACCCCGGCGTTTTCAGCAAGAATCAGAGACTGATAGCACTGCCCCGGGCTCCTCTGAGGAGGAGCATTCCCCCACCTGCCCGTGAAGAATCGTCTGAACCTTCGGATACTGCTCGCTGTACGTATTCCACTCCGCGATGACTGGAGAGTTGGTGGTGTCTAGAACTTGATTTCGAGCCACAGCATGACTAGTGTGGTCGAACCTCTCACGGACAACCCTTAACCTCATTCATGCCCGTCGATGACGATTCGTGCGAAGTCTACGCTCTGCGACATCCTCGTGGATGTCGACAATCGTACGGGAAGTCGTAGATGGCAGACTACTGAGCGAAAATGGCGGCTCGGACCCTGGGCGATCCAGAGGTGAAAGTTCGGATCGCTACATTGAGTCGCTGTAGGATTCGATCGATCGAACTCTCTCCCATCCTTCATTGGTTTCGAGATCTTCGTTGGAATGTTGTAGTTCACGAGGTTGAGCCTGATAAATACGAAAAATATGCAGGTACTCGGCCTTGATCCTCCTGGGTACATTTGCGCTATGGATCCGTCCTCGGAAGCAATGTGAATAACAGTACCCGGGACGTTAAACCTTGGCTGCGTGGATCAGCCCGAAAAAGTTTTTAGGTTGAGCCTGATGGAGGGAAACAAACTCTCTTAATGAGGGAAGAGGCGTGGTTCGCGGTCCGCGGAAAATTTTATTCTTTCTCATCAGTAGAAAATATCTAAATCGGCAAATCACGACACAATGTTCGGGTACGCTGTAAACTAATGCTCTTCGAACGAACCCTGGGCTTTTTCATGCTCATACTGTTCGCAAATAATTCCTGAGGCCGGGTTCGGTTCAAAGCTCCGATAGTTCAATCAGCGCTCTCTCCGTGCTGGTGGCTTACTGCTGAGGTACGGCTGCGAATGACTCCATCGGAGGTCAGTAGGAAGCGATTTCTTGCACAAGCGTTCCGGGCTTCCGTATTTAGGACTGACTTTTGGATATTTTTTTTAATTTATTGCGGATCGAATTCTTTGAGGGCTCCTCGAGAGCTATCTCTCGATTGTCTTCTTTCCCTCCCATGCTTCAGAGTCATTATCGAGCATCGAATTCGATGCTTAATTAGCGAAGAAGGCCATCGGACTCAGAGCAGCGCACTTGACAGCAGACTAGGATCAATAATCGACATTTTGTTTGATTGACAGCTCGCTAGGAGAGGATGTATCGAAGTAGATGACCCGAATTTTTCGAACGGCATTCCGTCATTTTGTCCTCGTTTCATCTGCACAGTCTCGAGGAGTCCGAAATTGTCGTGAGGTCGCCAGAATCTCACATTTGCATAGGTATCCGCCCCCTTGAATTGATTGCGTCTTGAGCGATCCGCGATCGTCCCTACAGCGAGCTGAGGTCAAGCGATGTTCTTTTTGAGCTCTCGTCAGATCGATCTGACTCTAAATGGGCAATCAATCACCCCGAGCCTCCGACAAAAGCGCTGCGGAGCGTTTCCGCCTCGGTAATAAAAGATAAACACGCCTATTCGCTTAGAGTACTTTGACAGTATGGACTAGATTAATGTCTACTTACGGCACGTAAATACATATACAATCTATATTTATAAGTGTATAAGGAGAAGCCTCCCCGCTTCCCGCTGATTCGCTCGTACCTCCTGTGTTACTCTCTCGGAGACTTTCTACATATCGCAAGGATTCCCTCATTCGAGTCTTCCGTCGAGCGGCACGCTCGAAACGAAGATGATGAGTGGAGCGACGACCAGGAGATACTTTCCCTCCGATGCTGAGCTTATTGCTTCCGAAGTATTGCGTCACGAGAATACACGATATTCATTATTGCTTTGTCTTGTGAAGGATTCCGTCGCCTAAGCCTCGGACACTTAAGATTATCTGTTGAAAATTCTGAATCATGGCCCGAGGGAGTTCAATGGACTCTGATGGTTTCCCCACGCCGATTCCTTCAGGAGACATGAGATACACATCTCACATCGAGTCGCTGAGGCCTTGCGTTGGCACCGATAGCATTCCTGACTGGCGATCCCCGGTGGCCGAATCATGACCTTCAGCGCCCAGATGCCAACTGAGCGATTGATTTATGGAACCGTGGCGCCCGAAAAGCTCTATTCGCAAAGTAGATCTCTCGACGCCGGATAAGTACTTCGTGCAAAACGTCGTACTCTGATTGAACATCGAGAGGCGATTCGTTGATTGATGACTTCCGTCAAAAGGGGGGCGAATATCCAATTCATCAGTAGATCTGCGGAGCGCGTCCCCGGCAAGCAACTTATAAAATTGTAGTCTAGATCGTGGTAGTCACATCACTCCGTTTACTGGCATCCGCAGCTTCTAAGATCGAGAAGCCTAAGGTAGAAAATGTTCAATGCTCTCGTTCGCGCTCGCAGCGGAGAGGGTTCTCATCTGCTTTCATCGGGATCCCCCGTTTGCTGTTCATTATCAAAAACTATGCCGACTGCGTCCCTTATGGAAAGCCTTACGGGCCTCCGGCGGCAGCATCTGAGCACTCGGCCGGACGAATGATCTTCTATTACTGATACATACAAGCAAAACAGGTTTGCATACACTGGATACTAATCTAACATTGGGAAATCAATGGCGCCCGCTCGATCTCTCCTGCTGGGGGCGAGGGTCGTTTGCTGTACAGAAGGAGGTTTATCACATGATGTATATCAAAGTAATTATTGTATTTATCGTCATTCTCATGATGATGTACAATATTCTGGACGAAAATATTGTCCAAGCAGCGCTAAAATCGTCGACCCTCCGCGAAAAAAAACGCCCAGGAGAAATCGATGGACGCTCATCGAGGTACTTAGGTTCCATATTCGAGGTATAATGTTATTCGGGAGGAGGCAGACATTGTCACTCAATTCGAAGTCGTTCAGATCCAGCAGAGCCTCTCGATGAAAGTGTAAGTTTCTCAAGCGACTTCATCGAGTGGAAAGGTCGGGTCACGAGTCACCATACAGTGAGAGATCGCATCGAATCTTAAGATTTAACGTAAATAATGATTTTCGAGTTCATTGGAAGAAACAGAATTATCTGAGGTCTCGCAACCTTCGCATTCGACAATCGCGCTGTGCATCTCAGCGTTTGGCTACAATACGATACTTTAATTTCCAACGCGCTCCCGCTGCGAATAAGAGGGGGGTCGCGAAAGCCAGGTTGACGAGGCCTCCCCCCTCGGCCAGTCGATGGGAGCAGAGCAGCCACCTCGAGCCTTCCTTCGACCGGTAGCGATAACGACTAGGATTGCATAGGTGCCGGAGGCGAGCCTTAGGGTCTTCAATTTTCCAGTCGAGAATTGGGTGCCGTAGCTCTCGGGCTTGGGATGCTCCGGTTCGAATCGGACAGTACGACTTCTGTGATACCCTTGAAGAAATTCCTTCGCGCCAATTCTCTTAGAGTGAGTAAATCTCGTTCCATGGATTCCGGATCCACTTGGAGGAGTCGTCTGTCTCGTTGAGGGAGTCGGGGTTGGGCTTCCCGAGTATCTGAACACAGAAAGTATGGCATAATATTATTGCTCTAAGCATAACGCAGCTGATTTTCGGTCGTGTGGCTCTCTGAGAAAGGTCTCAATTCGCTAGAAGTGCATACATATTATTGTTACATCATTCGAGGGGCTCCGATTCAGTAGCGGATATTGGTAGCGAGGTGGCCATTGATGCCGAAATCGCAAGCTCGATCCGAAGTTCTCGCAATTCCGATATACAGCTTTTGATGTTTACAGTGTGAGCATTCATACGAATATGCAGATCCTAAAAAATATATCTGCACAGCAACTCCAGCCAGGGCCATGTCGGATTTCTCCTCCATCTGAACAGTAGAGTCACTGTACTTATAAAATTTTAACGGCGATTCATCCAATCGAATGACTCCGACGCCGGAGAGATGCAGTACGATATCAATCGACTTCGACAAGTCTCTACGACAAACTGATGGCCAACGACAGCAGTCGTCTATGTATATCACGAACGATCCAATTATTGTTCAGGGACGATTCGGCGTTAAGTACTAACGTGGCAATGTAGCAGCCATCTTTGCGAATTCGTCTCTCTGCAGTTTACCGAGAAAATGTAAGTACAATTTCGGCGATCGCTTCGAGAACGTGCTTCGGCAGAAGCTTGTGGTCTGCCTTGTTGGAGCGAGGAAAGATTGAATTAAGGTAAAAAGCGGGAAGAGCGAGGCCGACAAACAATGAAGAAACACTTTGCACACCCAAACAAACCTAGTTCAAGCTTACGCAAGTTCGCACGCAAGCACGCCCGTTTCCATTGGCGGGCCGTCGGCCTTCTTGCCACCCTCCAGGCTGGCCCCACCCGCAACGACCCCACCTCCGTGTCCGACGGAATGTGGTCAGCGTTAGGCGGGCTCGGCGACTCTCCATCAAATGTAGAGGGCAACAGGGCGTTCGACCGCTGGGAATCGATGCTGTAGTCAGTTGTGGCCGTCAATCAGTTTTCGACCATGCCCGCAACGCGAAGCTTCCAAACGCCGGTCCGAGCACCGTTATAGACGTTTCGAGGCAAATGGAAGCTTTTCCTTGCTAGGACTTTCCCCGATCCGAATCACCCAGCTCCTGATTCAGGATTGCTCCGTATGTACATACAAAAAACAGCATCTCGTTGTAGACGTCGTTGTTAGGGCTCCTCCTAGCGTAGCCTTCGGCCGTAGCACGTTGATTAAGTGGAGTCGTAGATTCGTTCTCATCATTCCTGGTGTATATATGTGTATATATGTATGTATGTATATCGGGAAGAATCGATACGGGCATATATGTTCAAAAAAGAGAATAAAGCGCTTATTGGTGTCTTGCTTCTGAGATTTCGATCAATACACGTAGTCTGAACTTGGACAGATGCTCCCGCATCCGTCCTTGTTCTCGTTGTCGTAATGAGTATATGTGGACTTCGCTCTCTGATGATTATTACGGTGTCGATGTCTATCGCCTGACTCATGAACAATTATTATTCCATCATCGTAAACGTTATCCTTGCTATAATTATCATTATTATCCTTATCATCATTATTGTTATCGCTATGAGACATCGCTGTCTCATCACCAGGGGATCCAACCCGCAGTATAGTATAATTTGGTCGTTGTTGGAGCTACGCCGCCTATAACGCACGACGATTTCGTTGACATCAGTGTCCTCGCGCGGCCCGGAAGCCGCACCGTCACGGGGGAATTTCCCTAATGCTGAGCTTAAAACTCTTTCTCTCCTTCAATACTTATGGTGCTTGTTGTTCGATGTTGGTGTCGATGTCGATGGTGGTGGGATCACCTCGCCCTCTTCTAACAGCTGAGCGTCATCCTTCGATGAGTGGCACGCCGACTCCATGTGCTTGTTCAAATAACTTTTGAGGGCAAAGCTTTTCGAGCACCTAAAGGCAGGAAATGGGTCAAGTTCAAATGGAGGGCGCTGTAGCTGAAACTTGGAGCATGTCTAAACTTCGAACTTCGCATGTGCAAAGCTCCCCCATGGAAGTCTCTTGATTCTGCACACGAGCGTAACGATGGGGGAATTCTACTCACCGGGGACATTGGAAATGTTTAGCACCGGAATGCGTCTGCATATGTGCACGCAAGTTGGAGCGATCGGCAAACGCCTTACCGCAGTGCGCGCACGAAAACGGTTTTTCACCCGTATGCGAACGCATATGGCCTTGCAATAGCCAAGGACGCGAGAACGCTTTGCCGCACGTATGGCATTTATGGCTTAGTTTGTGAGTGAGGAGATGCATTGCCAACGCCGGCATCGAGACATACACCTGGAGCGAAGCGTGCGTGAGAACCCTTGGCGATTTCATTCGGAATTCGATTCGGTCAAGTCACAGTATGGTTCGTCATGGAAGCGGAGGAAAAACGTATATGGAGTCGGTTCATTGCCTACCTTGTCGCAGGTCGGACACTTTTTCGCGAGCTGCGAGTCGGGACTGCGGTGCGTCTGCTTATGTCGAGACAGATTCGACGAAGTGGCATAATGCTTCCCACACTCGACGCAGACATATTTTCCAAGACCGTGCACCGGGCTGAGGGAACGCTCACTGTCTCCCGAGGTGGAAGCCGCTGATGAGCAGGGTCTCTTCCGTCTTCGGGGGCGAGTCTGCACCACAACGGCTTGTTCCTGTTCTTCTTCCTCCTCTTCTTCCTCGCATTTGACTTCTTGTACTTCGCTGACAACTTCAATCTCCAATAATGCGGGCTCCTCAATCTGGAATCGAATCTGCATTTCATTCCCTTCCGCAGGCCGGGAATCATTCGTCCGCTCGTTTCCGCGTCTGCCCGAGCGAGCGTAAATGCACTCCGGGTTCGGAGGGGCTCGAGCACCCGGTTAGAAATCTGGACAACACGGAGCTCGCATTGGATTCGACCGTCGGAAAAATAATGGAAAACAAGGGACGGAGGAAGCAATGGAACGAGGGAGTCTCGAAATGCGTGCAAACAAACCTGGGACGTCTTTTGTGCTTTGGCGAAAAACTCCCTCTCGACCTCGTGGAGATGAGCGACGTATTCCGTGGCGTCCGGAGGAGATTGCAGCTCATGATACGTTTTATCCGAAGATCGTACGGGCTTGGAACGAACCTGATAGTCCAGCGGAACGTAGAGCTTCGGGGAGGCGCACGCGTAGTCTGTAAAGAGAATAGAGTCGTGTTATCTCATTCTGGATTCGCGACGCTCATCGTCGGACGCGAAGAACCGCTCTCCGTGTGCTTCATTCTGTGTTGAGTCAAAAAGCAGCGAATCGTTTTATGCTGCTCGCCCCACGGATTTTCTGGCGAGAAGCATCGGACCGTTGTTTGAGAAAAGAATTCCACCCCGATGCGATAAATTAGCGGTTCCGCGGCGCGGAAAATATGAAATCGCGGCTCGAGAGCCTCAGCCTGGTGCCTACGTCGGAGCGTCCAATCTGATAATCCGTGTCAGCGATACCGCTCCCTCTTAATACTGAGGGAGCTCGGTTCACACCGAGAACGCCCTCGAATGTGGGGGCGCGCCCGAGATTCAGCCGGATCCTCGAACGCATATCCCAAATTTGGCTCACACGACTGACCCGCTATTTCGCTAATATCGACCATGGTCGGTCGGATCCTGGAATCCTGTTGCTAGATGGGCAGCTTCCTCCGTCGCCAGACCGTGCGATCGGGATCTCGAGAGAAGGATAACCCGGGAGGGAGAGCCTTAGACATCTCAATCGGCTACGGAACGAAAAATGTCTCGATGATGATTTTGTTATTGCCCCTCGCGTGCTTATGGGAGCCGGTGTCCACGAGGGTGAAGCCCGAAAATCCGCGGGAGATCATGCGCCTCCAAATCCAGAAAATGAATTTAATCGACTCTCGTCAGCGTCAAGTGTCCATCAGACGTACTTCCGAGAGGATCTGGAGTGGTGAACCCCAGCCGTCCCGGCTCAAGTTGAAAGGATCTAAGGCTCTCCTCCAAGCATTGTTTTCCTTTCGGGAGATTCTATCATCCTTGTGCTTACCGGAAATCCAGGACCACTAGGTAAATTTCATTCAGCAGAGCCGAGGGATCCAGGAATGAGTCCTACTATCCTAGCTATGAATTTTTTTCAAGCTCAGAACCATCGATGCCTAATTTCCGCTGGCGGATCGTTTCCCTCCCGAGATTCGTCCTAGTCAGCTGGAGGAGGTTTCACACGAAGATGTATATAAATGAAATGTGTATATAAGATCGAGGGCGAATAAACTAGCCGGCCGCAGGTGCAGTATCGGCCCCCGTAAAAAAAAGGCGTGTCGGAGAGCTCAGGCGACTGGAAGGAGACTACCGAATACTTCAGGAGAGACTCGTACACAAAGTACAGCGAGGGAACAAGAATCTCGTCGTAGATCACGCTAGGGTGGAAACCGTCTTCGCGGTTAGTCCATCCGTCCGCTCGTCCGTCTATCCACTCGTACGTCAGCCTGTTCGGCCGAGTGACTAAGGCTAGTTGGCTGCTCGTTGGCTTTGCTCGCTAGACAGACGGAATCTCTCGGGCGGATTGCCGAGGAGAAACTCCCATTGCTCCATGGAGGATTGCGTTTTTGTGTTTGGCCACCCTGCCATCGGTGGATGTTCTGCTTGCGGCCCCGAGAGCCCATCGAACGAGGCTGTTTGACTGTCTGCTTGCCAGCCAGCCAGCGAGAGGAGCGAGCAGGCTGCCTGTTGGATCGGGTGGCTTATGGCCCTAGCTCTTTGAAACCAGTATTTTTCCTTTCCCCAAGCTTCCGGTTCCTCGCTTGGGAGCCCCTGCCGCTGCATCCGATGTCCCTTCTCCTCCTCCTTCTTTCCTCAGCTATGGGAACCACCGCGAATCTCGGCCCGGTCGTATTCACCTGTTCGACAGCCCAACACTTCTTGAGCTTCCAATGTCTGAGGCGGTCGCTATCTCCATCTACCGTTCGAGGATATATGTGCATGTACAGAACGAGGCTTTTACTGAGAATTAATGTCGCTCGGCTGCGTACAAAACCAACGGGAATGACACTCAAACGATGTATGGACTCCTCGACCGCACGGCGTTACTTGGGAACCCACTTTCAAGGAACACTTTCCCTGATCTCGGGGAAAATAAACTCCGCCTTCCGGATCGCTCTCGAAGCTCTCGGTTTCGAGGAACTCAAAGATTTTGTCTGTTTTCATTCACCAGTACCCACATTGTCCAGATCCCGCTACCGACACGGAGCGGATCGCGTTCAAAGCTCACAGATAACATCAAGCCGAAGATTCGAATCCGTCGACGGGCAGGAGAATTTGTGCGCTCGAGCGCGCTCGATTCGCGATGTTTTATTTCTTCCCCTCAAGCGAGGTTTACTCAAGCGACCCGTCGTGTGCGATCGGAATCTTCAGCTACGGGAAGTCTCGACGCTATCTCCGGAGCATATCCTACGCTGAATTCTTCAAGAACGCTATCGGAGCCTCGTGCCGCCGATCGACTACGGAACTAGGTTGCCGCGAGTTCGAACTCCACGAACGTCAAATATTTTGCTGTTCGATCGGTACGGCATCGCGATAAACGATCAGCGTCGTTCAATCCTCCAGATACGCGGCGGATACGATGAGTTTTTGAGCGTTCATCGTCGGGGGGGGGGGGGAAAAGGCACGAGCGGAAAGATTAAACCACATCAGATTCCTCGATTTCAAGGATCGGGCAGCGAGGTTCGCCGGCACTCCGACGTCGTGACGTATTGTGGGTGTGATCGACGTCGAATTACCCGTACAGCCGCTGACGAAGCTCTCCCCCCACAAATCAACGGAGAGACTCGTTAGCGTCCTTCTGTCTATCGAGCTCGACTGAAGAGGAGCGAAATTGCATGATTCCGCTGATCCTTGCTCCGACAAGCCTATCAGGTAGGTACAGAGTCATGATCATGATCTGGAGTTCCCCCGTTTTCAGTGGCTGATACCGGCTTTGCTGTTCCGTGGTTTGGGAAAAACCCTTCACGAGGAAAATACACATCCACGCCGGATCGTTTCGGGAAGCTCGCTCGCCCCGTTTGCGGAATTTCACTCCCGCGAAGCGTGCGTGGGAACCCTGTGACACGACTGCAGACTCGACTGCAATGGATGAGCTGCCGGAGCTCGCCACTGTATTTGAGGAAAGACGTCTCGACAATGTCTACGCTGTGGAAGCCTTCGAATCGTACATGATGCGCCTGTAATATTTCAGATGAGCTCCGTCAGGTCGTATCGATCGAGGCTTGTTTCGTAGGCGAACCAGCTAGGTGGTCGGCCCCTGGCCGGCTGCTATGCGCGGCTCGGTAGACATGCATCGAATGTCTTCACGGAGCGTTGGGTCGTCGTCGTCGTTCATTATGTGCGTCCAGTCGTCGATATTTAATACGCCTGGTCTGTTGCCCGCCAGGAATACCCGATCGGTCGTCAGCTGGCCCTCCGGCTCCGACGGGCTGCCAAACGAGCTTCCAGACAAGCTTTTACCAACATTGCTTTATCGGATATCTGCTCCGACCGTCCGCTCTCCGCTCGCTCGTCCCACGTTCTTCCCGTCGAGCTCCACTCTCGTAGTACACCCGTTCCGTCTCCCGACCGTTAGTCAGTTGCTCGGTCGGAGCGGTATCGTTGCGACGACCCTCATTTCCATCGCCTTTCTCTTTCCGGGAACGATGTGACGGTGTGCAAAAAACCGCGGCGGAAAAAAAGCGCACGAAACTTTGACCAATGTTGGTCCATCGCGGGTGGCTGCAGGAGGGAGTTACCGTCGACGTCGTTCCCGCAATGCTCCGTCCGAACGAAGATGGCACTGCCGATGGTTTCTCTTTCAGATTCCTTCGCCTGCGATGCTCCGGGGCATTGTCCGAACTCCTGAGTTAGCGGAACGTGGAACCCACAAGATGCCAGATCTTCTTTGTGCCCGCGGGAGTGCGCAGCCAATTGTATGAATACATGAAGGAACAGAGCCGGAACAAGCTCCAAAAACGGCCGCACGGATCCCGTGATGATCGCGTTTCCGAGGATAATTTCCTTTGGAGCGCGGTCGCAATTTTCCCTGCAGCTCAATATAAGTTCCCGCTGCTCAGTGTCCAGGAGCGTTCTCTCTCCCACGATTCCACTCGAGAAGCGAGATCTATTTCGTGGATCACCTTATGGAAGGTCCGAACTGGAGATAAATGGTGGCGCCCAGGTGGGCATCGACTCTGGACATTTCGAGGTTGGACCGTCTTTTCCAAAAGGTCAATACGCTGATACCGCAATGACCTCCGGCACGGACATGGTATTCTCTGAGCCACGCAACCTTTTGATGATCAGTTCAGGCACGAACTGTATCGCTCTCGTGACAGCGACGCCAGCGCAGAATCCAACGGAAACTTCGAGGCTACGTCGTGTCTAACACGCTTTCGCGAGCGTCTGACTTGAAGCATATGCATGAAAGGTCGACTCCCGCTAGGAATCCGCTACGCGAATGAGAATTCTCCTGGGATCGTCGCGCTCATCTGCGAAAAGATCGCCCCGACCACCGACGCCCGTTCCCGCTCGTTCCCCCATCCCACTCCCCGAAGAATCGTCATTTAAAATCAAGTCTGGCCACTCAGTCTCTCAGCTTTGATTGAGACGCCGTCCTGGCTCACTCGATGGAGGACCTTCCCGAGGAGACTGATTTAATTTGAGCGAGGCCACCGTACGATTGAGTCTTGCTCGAGGATTTCGATGAGCGGGCTCAAAGACGACGAGCGGATGATCGTCGCGGTAAACCAGATCGACGCGCACCAAGGTCGGAGAGAATTGAGACCGCAGCGATCGGCGTGTTTCCGTAACCGTTGTTTCCCCCGGAGAGCTAGGCGCCGGAGTGGCAGAGTTTCTTCGACGCTCGGGTTATAAATTGTTTTATACGAAAACTCCACGACATAGCCACCTTGGGATTTTACTGTGCACAAGGTCCAATAGCTATTTTGACTCGACTTTTCGCTCGCCGGGCGTCCTCGAGGAGAAGACAGGAACTTCATACAGGTAGCTCGTTTCGAAAAGTGGGAAACAAGATCTATCCAGCGAAGAAGTTCAGACGGCTCAACCATAATTCAGATTGTGTTTCCGCCTAAGTTCCACAGGTGAGCGGGAAGCCGTTTCTCAATCGTTCCCCGTTCCCGAGATGCGAATCGCCAATCTATGTGGAAATTCCCTCACTCCGATCCTCCGCGTACCGACGTTCTATGCGGAACGCTTATCGAATGTGTTCAATTCGAGCTGATTTCGCGATTCCATAGTCCCCGAGACCGAGAACATCAACAGGCGGGAAATCGGGGTTTTTGTTTACACGCCAGGGTTCGGGCCGATTCATCTTGCGGTCCCTCGACAACAAGCGTCGCGCCGCGAGTCGATACCTTATTTCGACACTCACCTGCGAGCTTCTCCAATTCCGAGTAGTATCCGTTTCCGAAAAGTGTCTGTTGAGGAGCCAATGCACCTTCCGAGAGGGAATCGGGACCTCCGTTTCCGATAGCCCAACGCGGTTTGTCTCCCATGTCGGGTAGTTTCATCTTCTTGACCAGGAATGAGCGAGGCATCAGAGAGGATAGTGGGCGTCAGAATCAGGATTCGGGATAAAGGAGGGGGATGAGGAAGGCTGCTGTCACATAACTGATGTTCCTATTGCCGGGAGACGACATTTCTGCTGTCTCTACGATCAACGACGACCACCATTTTGGCTAAACGGAGGCCACACGAAACGATCAGAAGGAACGCCCGGAGACGACGAACTCAGAAGCTTGTTCCGAACTTTCGAGGACAACAGTCAGGAGTGGATGACGCTGTCGACAGGTGGGACGACGTTGGGTCCTTCGAGAAAAGCCTCTTGAAGACTTGGATGTTGCCAGTTGAAGTACAGCCAAGCAGTTTGGGAGGTGTTGTATCGGACTCGAAGCCCACGCATGCGATCCAACAAGTCGTTTCAGTCTCCCTCGCGCTTCCCGCACCTCGCCTGGAACCAACCGAGGCGCTGTGGTCGCCTCGCTCGAGGCTCGCCTCAGTCGGCCGCTTTGCCAAGCATCACTGGGGTGAGGGTGAGGGAATCGCGGATGAGGAACAATCCTTATACTAACGCGTGCGCCGAGCATTCCCCAAATTTACCCCGCACCCCCTAAGGGCTCTCCCTCTTTCTAGTGCTCGGTGCGCCTTTCATTCATTTCGAGCCGCTCAATCGAACTCGAGTCGAGCTCGGAGGGAGCATAGTCATTTGAAAAACTTTCTCCGTTCCCGCTGACGCTGCAATCTGGAGGGATTTGAGCACCGAGAGGACATTCGTTGCATTGTCACACACATGTCTACGATGAGGAGAAACTATTCACACAAACAAGCAGAGAACAAGCCCACATCCCGGTGTGTGGGTATGAATCTATTTCCCGAAGTTGATTTTCTTAATCATGACGGGGCACTTCAAGGCCCTCGGGTGGAGTTTTTCTCGAATTTACCTCCGCGCACCCCTGGACGGAAGTGGGCCTATGTGACTAATCATGACTTCCGAGAGGGACATTAGAACATCTTGGATTCGGAAAAATGAAGTGGGGTTCATCCTCAAGAGCTCCGATTTCCGATCGTCGAAAGACTCGAGGAACAGCATGAATTACACTCAGCAAATTAGCGATATCTACCGTTGCCGGACCGAACCGAGGCTGATATTGGAAGCTGAGCGTATAAAAGAGACAGTTGGTGCTGTCGCTTCGATTCCGAAATCTGAGCCGACTTCACACCCTATGTTCAAACTACAGGCGACAGAATTTTCGCTCCCAACCCTTCTAGCGCAGCGCTCTTGTCCCCCGTACCGCGGCGATCGACCGAACCTTGCCGTTGGACACGGGATATCTTCACGTGATTGCTCGAAAACTTGAATCGAGCCGAATCGCCGTACTCGCTGCTCGAGGATTCTCGGCTCCTGGGTCCAGGTTGGCTCAGTGCGAAAATCCCGCTCGAAGTGGAGAGAATCGAGCCCGACTGAGCCACTCCTGATTCGTAGTGCCTGCTTCCTGGGTTTATCTTCTTCATCAACAGCGAGAGCCGTGCCCTCCACGGAAGCGCCGGGTTCCTCCGTGTATCGACACACCATGGCAAAGGCAATCGACAGTGGTTCTCATGACCGTAAGCGTCAATGAGCTACGTGGGCTCTGCCGGAGGAGGATGTGATCCCCGGAATCGATGCAGATGGTTCCCTAGGTTGAGCAATCTTCTCAGTTTCCAGGGGCTTTTGATCTCGACCCACGTTCCGATTGATTGAGGATGGCATTGCTCCTCCCCGCTAATCAGGATATTTACGATGATGAACTAGATGGAGCTGTCATTTCCTGTGAGCTTCTCCATGTGACTTACCCGGCGGCGTCCGCGGGATTTTTTTCGGGGGGAAGAATGGGCGCTAGACCGAGTCTTCCCATGAGGCTGATATTCAACAAAGCTATAGCCCCCTCAGCAGCCCCCTCCTGTGGACGCGCTCGGACTCATCATCTCGGATCTGAAACAGGTGAATTCGATGCCCAAGAAAGCTTGCTCGCCGTCTGGGATTGGTGCCATCCGAGATTTCTGTCGGAATGTTCCTCAGGCCCGGAAGTGATTCTTCGCAATAATTCCTGGTACGTATCGCTCCATCGTCCAAACATTCGCTAATGTTCCCAATCAGGGAGCCAGAGATCATATCGTTGATATTATATCTTGATTTATTTTCATTAGTTATAGAACAATCCGGGACGACTATCTTCAGTGTGGTGTGCCTAACCGCCTCAGCTCATCGCTGATATAACGCTACCCGGCAAATCGTCAGGTTATAACGACACGCGAGGATGCTGGCGTCAGTATTCCAAGGGAGACTCAGGTACCCGGGATTGAAGATTTCCATCCCGAAATCCGTTCTCACCGCAAATTATTCCTTCCCCTAAAGTATTCCTGATTCCTTATTCGTCTAGCAGAGATCACAGTCATCACTCCCGCTAGCAGCATCGCATCGTCCGCGAAGGCACTGAAAGCTTCCGGGGTTCTAGTACCGGATCGGATGGCTTTTTCCGGCAATTCCCCAACTCCTGGGGGATGGAGAAACTGTTCCGACAAACAGCTACTCCTGTAAAACTTCAAGCCGACACCTCATCGCGCCGAGCTGCCACGGGATCGCGGGTCATGAACGTATCCTAGAGCCGCACACTTTAGCATCGGAGTCTCTACCAGACACGCAGTGTTTTGATTTGCTGCGGATCGACAGACAGCGAGTGGGGCACGCGAACGCGAAGTAGATTTTTCCCTGGCTCCGTCCCAGCCATGATAGTCAGTATTCAGTGGTGCTCGCTGCTCTGCTCTAGGCGGTCAACTGTGGGTTGAGCGTTGACCCACCACTCTCTGACGGAGACGTAGTGGAGGAAAGCCAGACTTCGTTTTTGCTGAATTCTACGCCGGTTTGTCTCTGACGGGTCCGGTTCGGAACGGACAAACCCGGGTCTCCACTAATCGGACAGTACTTCGGCACCCTTGAATTTGGAGCGGCGTGTTTTGCGACACAGCCTCGGCCTCGCGGAGAAAGGCTCGCTTGTGTGCTTCACCATGAATAAATCGTCGTGGGCGGATCGAGTCGACTTTGAGGATGGTGTAGTGAATGTGCCCGATGAAGTGGTCGATGGAGACATCAAGATTATCACAGACTTCAGGGAAATCGAAGGGAAGAAATTCCGAGTCACGCGCACATACAGAGTGGAAAAGAAACAGGTATCCAGATCGATCGCGTACCGGAAGTCTCTACCAAAATACGGCGACTCGAAGAACGACGCCGCTGGTCCGAATCCTGCGACTACGTTAGTAGATCAAGAGGTCCTCATGCAGCTGGTCTCAATCAAAGCAGGAGTTGAGGAACCGCAGGAGACAGAAGAAGAACTTCAACTCCAAGTGAAACAACAGCTCAATAAAATAGTTTCCTGCAGAATTTGCAAGGAGGAGCACTGGACGACACATTGCCCTTACAAGGATCGAATGCCATCGTCAGCGCAACTCGATGAGAGCAGTAGAGCGGCAGCTGCCGCAGCGAACGCGGCGTCCAAAGGACTCGATTCCGCGAAGACGAGCCGCTACGTTATCCCAAGCATGCGCGACGGTGGAAGTAGACGAGGGGAGTCGATGGCATACTCGAGACAGCCGCGAGACGAGAACACTGTCCGCGTCACCAACCTTTCGGAGGATATTCGCGAGCGGGACCTGCAAGAATTGTTCAGTGCATTCGGACCGCTGGAGAGGACTTATCTAGCCAAAGACAAAATCACCAATCAATCCAAGGGATATGCCTTCATTTCCTACAAATATAAGGAACACGCGCTGCAAGCCATCAACCATCTGCATGGTTACGGCTATGACAATCTAATCCTATCCGTAGAACTCGCGAAGCCCAGCAATTAGGTAAAGAGAAAAATTAATAAATCAAATAGGCGCTAATTGGAAGCGTGATTTTTGAGCTCAAAGCTCGGAGTCTTTTTTTCCACGTGCCTTCGACGCTCGCCCGCATGAACCCGTTTAGACGCGCCGGTAATCTTTGAGCATGGCTATTGAACGGAATTTTAGGCCTGCCATCGTATAAGACCCTCCCGGAGCCCGGAAATGCCAGTATGCAGATTAGCATCATTGATGAGTTCAACATGTTATGTAGGTAGCACGTCTTGATGAATCGATAAAGTTTGCGATCGAGTCCCCTGTCCCCTCGGACAAGCCCGACGCGGGCTAGCGGAGACCGGTGAAACCATGATGTTCTCCGGAACGATGGCGAGAAAAATAGCAGTCATGGAGAGTACTCGAAATCCGAGCCAGGATTCTCTAAGTAAGCAAAGGCCTACTGCCCGGCTCAGGAGGTCCCGCGAGCGATTCAATGGATCTTCGAAGCGACGAGAAATATAAGGTAGTGTCCGTAGGACCGACCCCGGCATGATCATCTGCTTCTATGAATATTAAAATTCCAGACAGAACGGCGCCGTTCGGTGAAGGAACCCAGAAGATCCTCGGAACTGAAGCACCGACGCTCGTCATCGTAGAGATCTTGCTCTCGACCACGCGGGTTTACGACTACTGGGGGCAAGGGGGAGTGAGTGGACTGTCGGATGCGATGGCCGTCCCTAACAATCAGTTCGACCGCTGAGCATGATTGACGAGCAGCTCTAAGAGGGGAACAGACCCCCGGTGCCCCCATCTGGGTACTCACCTGGTAAAGTCTAACTGCGACAAGCTGGAAGGACTGGGACAATGATATCAAATTTGAAATAGTTCAATTAGATCGATTCTGAGGGTTCAATCACTCCACGAGTTGAACGAGTGTCGTTACAGGGAACCTCGACTTGCCCGATCGATGAGGAATGTTGGTACCGCAGAAGTCAGACGCAGATCTTAGCTTATGTTCGGGGAAAAGACCGTGTTTTCAGCTCGAGTGAAAGCCGATTCTACGTCCGAGGATTTGTTGCGCGTCTTTGCCTAAGCGCAGAATATAACGAGAGCCTAATGCGGAAAACTTCGAGACTCTTTTAATGGAGCTGTTTCGGAATGACCTGGGACGGAGGCGTCGCGCGACGTCCGGACCTATGTATCTCCAAGAGCCTCCGTAGGGTGTGACTGAACCGAATCAAAGCTCTCGTCTTGCAGACTCTGCGAGCGACTTCGAAGCTCGATTCAAGTTGGAAATTCAGTTTATTCCTTGAGAGTCATCTCCTGGGAGCCCTCCGAGATTCCCAGTCGGACTTCCTCCGTTAGACATGGGGGGCGCGCTAGTTGCACTGGGGGCAACAGTGTGCGGTACCCTCGCAGAGCCACCGAGTAGAGCTCTGATTGGAGCTGCGGCGATACGCTAAGCATATGTGTACGAGCCACGCTGAGAACTCGCGACGTCGACGGTCGCGACTGCCAATCATCCCATCGTTTAAGTGTCTCCGTCCCTTGAGAGTTTCTCCATCTAGGTCCCCGTTCAATGTATCTCTGCGGCATGGTTGATGTTCCGAGCAATCCTTGTAGCCCTCTTTTTCGCCCCCTCCCGCTGAGGAGGGAAGCAGCTATGACGTCTGCCGAAGCCAAACCTCACTGGAGCAGCAAAATCCTGCGGGACCTCCGATTACGCCCGAGAATCGCCCCAACGAGCCTTAGTGGCTATGGAAGAGCAAGGATAGCGGGAATTCGCTTAGAATACCTTAGATTCTACCTGAAGAACGCACCAAAGCCTTCGGAGAGCGCTCCTGGAACTTCACACAGTCCGTCGCTGTGAAGACGGCGTTTGAGGCACCCCATCCTCCTGATCGCTCCACGTGTACATGAGGAGGGCCCAGAAGTAGAGCATCAGGTACATCCGCGCTTCATGTTGATGGGGCGACTCGCCTCAGAAGAAAGTTCCGTCTTTCTCATCCTAGCTCGGTATTCTTTCTGCAACTCTCATCCCATTGAGCTGATACCCGAACAACGTGTAATCGCCGTGCACGCATCTAGAATGTTTCTCATAGGTGATATATTCGGGCTTGAACGAATAGCGATGGAACCCAACTCCGTTTGAGAGACGCTCCGAGTATTCCTCGCGTTCTAGCCGTATAAAATATTCGAAGCATTCGACGTCCAGGTTCCTTGATATCCAGTTTGCCGATCGCTTAAGCGAGGAGGCGTCCGTCTAACGTTCGGACGATGAAAATTACTCGCGCCGTGATCTGCTTTCCGAGAGGCCAAATATCGAATCTAGAGAATTCCCAAACTAAGATTGTCCTTGTCGGAACCTCGACCCGATTCTCTGCGTCAGCGTCGCTCCACATACCTCGTAAACAGTCCGCGAGCTCGGATCCAGATGTCAGCGACTGATTCAATCTTGACGCCATTGCCGAGACGTTCAGGTGAGCCTTTATCGAGGAATCCAGGAGGCAGTGTTGACCCTCCTGACCCCTTTGAGCTTCCTGGGTTCCTGCAATCCAGAGCCGACTGCATGTGGCGAGATGCGGAGAGCTGAGATTACCTACTTATCATCTCTTTGTTTGCGGAGATCATGGTCCCGTTTGTGCACAAGAGCGAGGGGAATGTTCTGCCCGTTCGACAACATGCTTTGCCAGCATGCTCTCCCGGCACCATATCACGAGGTAACTTCCACGGAATCTGCCGTGCATCGATGCTATGTAGTTGTCGGTTGCAATCCTCAGGATGGAATAGGAGAGCAAATGTATCTGTCCCCGGAACTCTGCAGTCGCCGAGCCAAAATCGGCAGCGGCGATTGTCAAATCGCAGTCCGCGGAACAAAATGATTGAGCCACGGTGAAGCCTCCCGAGCATCCACCGAGAAGTCGCGAACCATACCTCGTTAGCCGGAGGCGAGAAAAAAGTCCGAGGATACGGGTACCCCTGTGTCTACTTGGTGGTTTCAGCAGATGGTCAAGGGCCGATAGCCATGTTGAATGGCCCAGATGCGCCGCTCCGATTTTGGATTCCTGTACATCGTAAACGACGGAAATTTATATTCAGAACATTTCGACTATCTATTGAATGCATTACGGTTTGTGTCGAGCTACCGCTTACTCAGATATGCTGGCTAGGATCGATTCACTCGGACTAATTGTGGATGAAGACTTCCTGTGACGCTGCGGACATGATTTGCTTGGACAGTAGCGAATTGCATTGCGAACTTCGCCGCGCGTTTGCTGACGTCGGCGTCGAGTCGGATCTGTCAGAGCCGTAGGAAGACGGACCAATGATGTGCGATTGGGGCATTCCGTTGCAGCCGACGGATAGCTCGGAGCGATCTGCTCCTGACAAGCGGATTTTATTGATACCATCCACGTTGTCCCGAAAGGAAATTTTCTAGTTCGGATGCGACACCCGACTGGACGCGGAGGATGGTCTGCAGTGACCTTGCAGATCCGGAGAGATGGCTTATCTGCCTCGGGATTTCGGCCACTCCCAGGACATTCACTCCTGAAGTTTGAGTATGGGAGCTTGTCGCTAAGTTGAATCCCAGCCCCTCGTGAAGGCTCTCTTTCTAGCTCTCGATCTAGTCTCCTCCTCGAAAAAATCCTGGGTACGCGCCTGGATGGAGCGCGAGCGTGGTATCCTCTTCGGCGGGGATCTTTTCGGGAGAATTCCGTTCCGGATCACTCAAGTTAAGGCCGATCAAATCCCCGGCGTCTAACACGCCAGCCTCGGGCTCAGGGTAGTTAGAGGGAGAAGGCAAGCAGGTCTAGCAAACATGTATTGTATGGATGACTCAGGGAAAGCACCGCAAAAATCGTATCGTACGATTAGGTTGGAGTTGTGAAAATACTTCGAGCGCGAAGAATCGGCTCACGAGCTTGTGTAGTGCAGGAAGATTCCGACGACGACGATCGTATCTCTCCGAAGTGTTTCCGGTCAGGGAATCCCGACCACATCACATCATCCCATCGATGACCCGCGAGCCTGAGACTCTCATCTGTTCCCATTGGGCCACCGTAGGATTGATCACTGAAAGCAGGCTCCTCTTTACTCAAGCCGACTGATTTCTTGTTGCTCTTTGGAGGTTTTCACTCTTACATATAGCTTACTCCGCCTCCTCTGCTCCGAGGATGAGCGGAAAACCTCGCCGAACGATCGGAATAAATCGCTTCAATTTGCCCGACGGGTCGTGTATTTTGTATGAGTGAAGTCCGTTGGTACTTCTTCTTCGTGGCTGGTCTTGAAGTCGTCGTTGTTGATGCGGCGGCGATCGCGGCAAAATGTTTTCAATTTTCTTTGGCGATTCGTAATTAATTCCGGCGGAGCTTTTTATTGCATTCAAACGTTAATCATGCGGGTCGGATCGCGGATATTCGGATCGAAATTTCGCCTTCACTGTTTTATTTTCTCCGCCTCGCCAGCGCAAAGCGTTTTCTCCACTTTCGTGGGATACGGAGGAGCTACGATGGCTAGTTTAGGAAGTCACTGTTCCCGATTATCGTGCGAATACAACCGGGAGGACATCTCGATCCAGACGACACAAAAAAAACGCATGGCTCCTTTTTGAAAAAAGCGGATACGCCCAGGGCAGGGCGACAGAGAACTCCACGAGCTTCGTTTGGGATTTCCCATCTTTAATTCTGTCCTCCAATTCATACCATTTGGTGAGCTACCGTTTACCTTACAATACAAAACAGGGTGAATTTTCAGCACGTCTTCTTCAGCATAAGCCTTCGGGCAGTTGTGGCTAGACATGTGGACCCTCGCTATTTACAGACTTATGTACAATAGAATATGAATTATTTAAGCTTCAGCGGGTGTGTCGTGTGTTGATACGTCTGTCTGTGTACATGGACCATCGCTAATATGTATTGGAGAAGAGATTCGCCCCTTCCGGAAATGAAAATAGGAACGGATGCCCCTTTGGCAATCTACTGTTTTGACTGCGCGTCAGAAGAGGGTAAGGCACTCGTTTCCGATCTGGGAATTCACCCACGGAATCGCTCCGCGCGCTGTCTACGTCGCCCGGCCGGTGAGGAACGATGGATTGAGTGGCGATCGCGGCTGAGTCTCACGGAAAATCTGATGTAGAAGGTTGTAGTTGAAGACTCAGAGGCAGCATCTGCGAATGGGAACCTTGAGGTGCTTGTTGTCGCATCGACATCCGCAGCTTTTCGACTTCGGCCTCCTTCAAGCGTTTCTCTTTGGCTCGTCGATTCTGGAACCAGATTTTGACCTGCGGGGCATGCGATTTGATGTTTAATTCCCAAAATTATTATATCGAGGTGTCATTCTTCTCCAGCTCGGATCTGGTGCATCGAAGAACCGGTATCGAGCGTTCTGAACTGACTGCGAGATCGACTCGGAAGCGGCATCGATTAGGTCACAACCACAACTCTCGGGAATTCTCACCTGAGTTTCTGTGAGTTTGAGTTCGTTGGCGAACTCGGCTCGTTCCGCTATCGACAGATATTGCTTGCCCCGGAACTTCCGTTCCAATGAAAGAAGCTGCTGGGTGGTGAAGGGGGTTCTGGGTTTACGATTCGACTTGTGGCGCCGTAGCTGACATCGCACAGGAACGGCCGGTCCCTGAGTTAAGGCTTGCAACCGGAGTTGCTGAAGCATTGCACTGCCTGGAAACATACCCGTAAATGAGTCGAGAGGCAGACTGGAGGTCGACCAAAAATTTGACGAATCGTCGAATCATCCAACCCGAGGCTCTTCCCCGAGACTTGAGATGACCCCAAAGCCATTCGATCTATTTGAATTGATTCTAAACCGGGGCAATCATCCCTGGGCTCACTCAGATTTCCTCCCTGGTAATTCTGTTCGAATCTTATAAAGGTTCTCGGCCGAGAACATTTACTGCTGATAATGAGTCAATCGTTTTATGACCGACGTTCAGAACTGTACCGTCCTTCTTGAGGACTTAATTGCTCACCAATATTCGGTCAGTGCTGTTCTTTGCGCAGTTTGACCCGTCTACTCTTGAGGTCTAGATTAGTTTACAATTACCCTGGACACGTAGAATGTGCGACATGCGCCTGAGGAAGGAGCTGCTCTCGAATCTAGTGGTCGGTATACGTGCGCTACCGGTTAACCGAAGAGTCTCCAGAGAAGAAAGATATTTAGTTCTTCAGATTTTTTGTATTCCACGTCGAACATCGCAGCTGAATGAGGAAAACTCTCATCCGCCCGTCTCCTAGTTGGTAATTGGCCACAACGCGCGACGGGCTCCCCGTCTTCCCAGGCCGAGTTTGCTGGAGAATCGACAACGATGTGATCTTTCGCAAGGGCAGAGAAGATTCCTCCTCGTGGAAAAGACCGAGGTTCGAGGAATTCTAGCCGGAAAATCGGCATCATACTCGACCCTAAGGAAAGCGATGCGTCTACCGCGTGAAGTTCTAGGTGACTTGTGAGAACGATTCCTAGGATCTCAAGTTCCTCGGAACTCGATACACGTTGGGAGATAACGGAAAGCTTACCCGTTAAGAGTTGACTCGCGAATGGTGAGGTCATCCAACTGGCGCTTAAACTTTGCGGATTCGGCAACACCGGCGAACCCATCGCAGCTGGGAGAAGGGGGTACACTTGAGGCAGGAATGGATTCGGGGGCGGTGGCGGTGAGGGAGTCGAACTGCTGAGATCATCGACGTGTATTTCCGGTGAAGAAGGAGGTGGTGATTCGGGTTTCTTGGCCAATATCGAATCCACCGAGAATATGCTCAGCTTCTGTTGGGGTCGCTCTTCAGAGGACGTTTCCCGTTCCGGGGAAGGCGTTCGACTCTCCTTGCTCGTGGTTGAGCAGCTGAGATCCATATCGAGGATAGTCACTAAAGTCCTCCGTCACACTCGCTTCGCTCGTAATTTTGATCCGCTGGCACTTCAACTTCTCGGGGGTGAGATTAGGAACACAGTCTTTAACGATTTCCACTCGGGGAAGAGGGTGTCGATCTTCAGAGATATCGATGGTCCGCCAGCAGGCCACAGATCGCTGGAGAAGCTTCGCAGCTTCGGAACTTCGTGTAATTCCAAAGCACTTACACTTGCTCGACGCCGTAAGGTAAGCTCTCTTGCGAGGAAGTGTCGCTTCACGGCGGACGTCCTCATCTAGAGCGACACCTGTGACGAACTAACAAGAGCGTCAACATTCGGCGCTGACCGAGAACCGGGCGGAGCCAGTTCGTAGACTCCTCCTATCTTTCGCTGTGTTGGCGCTCGGTTATGCTGTGTTTATAAAAAGAGAAGTCTTCGCCAACGTTGGTGTAGCCGCGGATATCGTTTGCGGCGACTTCGACTTCTTCTCTCAATTGTCCCTTCGCAGCTCGACTTTGGGAGGAACTGTATGATCAATTGATCAAGCACAGTTATCTTCAATTCGAACTCCGAACCCCGGGAACAATTGAATTAACGAGCGCTTTCGGATAGAATCAGGGAGAACTTCAACTGCCCATCGTCAAACCGGCGGTCAGAGGTCTCGATGTGTTGAAAGAGGCGTTGCATTCTTCTGCTGACAATCATCCTTCGGTCGCCAGGAGTGCAGCAGACAAAAGTCAATCCTCTCCTCTCGCAGTCAATCGCTTTTGAGGGAGAAACCGCTCCGAAGCTACCTCAGTTTCCTCTAGCTAGTCCTCCCTCTCCACCCGGCGCTCGTTAAATCCGAGATCCACAAGAAAATTCCCAGAGGAAAACATGGAAGACGCTTATCGCCCTCCCTGGAGAAAAAATGTATCCGGCCCGGAGAGCGACCTGGGAATGTGTCATTGACTGAAAAACAACACAACATTGACGACAAGTGTCATGCGAGACGGAATCACAGCGATTCCGGGGAGTTTCGAGTTCTTGTTCTTTTGAGCGGGAAGTATCAATGTCAAACACCACCAGAGAGCTGACGGCGGCGCGGCCCTCATAGACCAGTGTTCTTGATTGATGTCCATTCAGTTCAGCTTCATCTCTACCGACGGCAGCGTGGACGTCGGAACTACAAACGTATTCGTCCCACCGTATGACCGCTTGAGGAATTGCTCAACCACGAGCGTTTGTCCCTCGCGAAGGGCTCCGAGTGACGGTAGCAGAGCTAGCACCCAGCAGCCGACGGGCCTGGCAATCTTCTCAATGGAGCTGCTCGAAGCGAATTGGCTCCCAGCGGGGTGTGAATCATTTCGCGTCGACTCGGTAATTGGTTTCGCTGATTTTCGGTGTTCACGCGCTTAATTTCTACGTCTGGTTACAAATATCTGTCAAAGGTGTATCTCGCTGATGTCGACGACAAACACGGTCTACGGGACTGCTGTACACCTCCGCGCGCCGGAGCCACCCGAAGGGTTCTACCAGCTCATTCGCCAGTAAGCGATTCACGCATAAATGCTCGTTCTCGAAGAAGGACTGGCGACCATCGAAGAGACCTCGGATTCACTCCAGACTTCTCCCTCAATTTTCACAGAATGTTCTACGTATCGTCGACGACAAGGATAGACGGAGCGTCAAGGAAGATATCAGGAAGCAGGAGTAGGGACAACATCCTCCTTCTTCCGACTCGGGAGCCCTGTTCGCAAGTCGCTGACGGAGCTATTGACCTTGTTCCCTGCGTAAACTCTTCGCATAAAAGGAGCCGAAGAATAGAAGAGGAACGCCTAATTTAGCCCTAATGTTGTTACGAGAGCATGTCGGCTAATCTTCCTGACGCTCTGTCGAAGGAGCGAGACAAGCCGCCAAAATTCTCAGCGATTCCCATTGGCCCAGGCTGGAAAGTATGGCAGCCGAACAGTCAACCGCCCTGTGCATGTCACTATACCTACGATATGCGGTTCCTGCTAGCTCGGCTGCCGCTAGCGGTGACGGTCGCTCGTGATGGTGGCGGTGTCGGCAACGGTGAACAAATAATGTGCGAGCTATGAGTTACTTGTTCGAGCTCCTCCTCCGCTCTTTTTCCTTCGAGCTCTGGTTGAGGAACGAGTGTCTATCTTTAGATCGGCGCATCCGGGCGAAATAGGATCCCTGAGACAACGGGAAGTATCTCTTGAGCCTGTTCGTAGGACTCGATGCTTAAATGTTTATGATCATCGCTGAGTTCCAGAGAAGAGACGAGGGGGCGGCTCAAACGCGTTGTCGAGTCGCTCTGGAGCGATACCTCCGAAAATTCAAAGTCGTCGATTGGTACCCCAGGGCAAGCAAAGTCTCCTGTGGTGGCAGCCCTGCCTCAAACCTTCGCATATGGTCATACTCGAACTTAGTCACGGCTCCGGTCTAAGCTTGTCGAGGACGGATACTTATTGAGACTAGAAAAATCCAGATATTTTGACAGCTTGCAGAACGTTCGAAACGAGACGATTGTACATAGCTGTCGTTGTTGGGACCCTTGAAGGCCTGGCGACCAACGAGCCACTAATCGCGTACTAAGTAGGAGACATAATCGCCTCAAAAGCTGTGGAAGAGCTTTCTAGAGCTGTTTGTGGAAAGGTGACCGATTTCGCTACACTCGGGTCCGCACTGGAGTCTGAATGAGGGAAGTCACTACCGATGCATTCCCATTGGAGGATTCCCACCGCAGACCTTCTATTGCTGAGAACGAGGTATAACCCCCGATTTCGATCCCCGCTGTACGTAAGGGATTTCAGTGCAGAAGAGGTTCTGGAAGAGGTCGCGGCATCTCTCTTGAAGAACGCTCGTTGAAGTTTGGCATACCGCTCTTCAAGCAGCATGTCACTCAGCGTGGTCTGCAGCCTTCTGAACGAGCCATCCTTAGGCATGGCTACACAAACGAACCAACGAACGAAAGAAAGCTGGCAGCCTTCTCACCACCGACTGCATCGGTCGCTGCCTGAAGCCAATGTGCCCATTTGCTAACGGTACTGTCGCCTCCAGATTGACTGAGAAGAACAAGACGGATTGAGTTTCCGCTCGTGCAGCTCTGCTACCTCCACATTGAACTGAATACGTTCTAAGTTTGCCCTTCAGGATAGGCACTCCCAAAATTGAGAGCCCTCCCGAGCAGGGGAGATGTCGTCCCTACTGCGACCGGGTCTTAGTTCCCCGCTCTCGTTCGAGTCCTCTGCTTAAGAAGAGGGAAATTCCGCAGCAAGATCTCATCGCTTTTTTTCGGTCTTGAAAGCGATGCCGGGACTTTTCCGTCTCTCGGAGGGGACGAGAACAGCGTTCATCTCTCGAGAGGACGCGGGGGAAGATGTGTTAGAAAGTTTCGCCTAATGTGCTACTTCAACGATACAATAGATTCTCAGCAAACCACATGGATTTATAGCGATTCGGAGAACAGCGTTTGAAGGTTCGATGTATCGCCATAAACCTATCAGGTTGTAAGTGCATGTGGTGATCCCGATCTATGTGTATGCGGACGTGGGTGTCACCAGAATCATCTGAACTAAACGTAGTCAGTCAGTCAGCCAACCAACGAACCATCCAAAGAGCCAAGCAGCCAGCCAGTCAGTCAGTCAGCGAGGCCTACCAGCCGAGCAGGCCGTCGTCCCTGTGAAAATCGAGGCATGTGCGCGAATCTCCTTAGCTTTTCCAGCTCTAAGTGGCTCCTGTCAAAATGGAAGGCGATCCGTTCTCAGAAGCTCTCTTAAAAGACCAACACATGCTTAGCTGTGACTTCTCTCGACGGCGACGACGACCACTTGAACAGTCGGAAAATCTACTACGACCAAAAAATCTCTATCGATAACACTTCCGTTTTTTGTTACGTCGATCCATTCCCTCGCTTGGGCTTCATCATGCACGGCAAGCTCCCCTACGGAAGAGCCCCGTCGTGCAGAAGTTTCTCTTGTGCGTATGTTTGTGCGTTATTCTCTTGAGTGGTCCGCGGTTTCGTGCAGGCAGATTGCACATACCGGCCTCTCTTCCACTGCTCCCGACGTGGCAGGGCGGTGTTTCGCTGGTCCAGGTCACGTCCTGGACTCGGTCACGTTGGCGGAACTGGTCATTCCACGACTCCCACTGTTTCCTTTTCTCTTGGACTTGATAAGGACGGCACAACGACCTGTCTGAAATCGAAGTCAAATGCGTGTCTCGACGAGAATTGTGTCTCAATATCGAGCAACAGAAAGGAAGGAACCTCCCTCCTGTTGTTGTCGTTACTTTTTTTATTGTCCTGCTTGTCGTCTTCATCGACGTCGTTGGTGCTGTCGTGGCCGTAGCCGCTGATTGTGCGGTGGCTCATCTGTTCGGGAATAATAGAAACCAATCAATCCAACAAGAGAATCGAACTCCGGTCTGCGGCTGCCTGGTAGTCCGAGGGAGGGAGCGAACGAGCGAGAGCGTCCGTTCTTTGTGTGATGCTCGCTTTCTTGATCTGACGTCTCAATCATCTCCCAGTTGCGCGCGAATTGTCCAAGTCGTCGTGATTACGGCTACCGAACGCACGTCGGTGTGCGTGTGCTCGATACGCATTGCGCCTTGTGCCGATTGGATCGATCTGAGTGACTGAGTAACTTCAACAAACACGAACCGAAGACCAAGCGACTGTAGCTACGGCACGACACGTCTTCGGCGTCGTGTACCGATTGAAATGTCCTCCAGTGTGTTTGGGCCGGTGCAGAAGTCGCTACATGAATTTTCACGGAATCTTTCGGATGACGGGAGCCAATTGGCTTCGTCCAATTTCCTCTTTCGATTCAGACGAACAATCATTGATTCTGACGACGATTCTGACGACGACGACTTCGACAATGAGGATGAAGACGGCAAAATGAACAGGACGTCCACATATGTCTAGTTGCCCTTTATTTTGACTGATGACTGGATGAGACGGATGCGCGGATCAATAGAGCGGCTCCTCCGGTATGTAGATCGAGCGATCTGTC